ACCAACCCGAGTTTTGGGTGTTTGCCACCCCGAAACCCCCGCGGATTTGCCAACACCCCCCCCTGCTACCCCCCTGCTATTGGGGGGCCCTTGCCCCCCCCCCCCCCCCCCCCCCCCGGGTCCCCTCGAGACCCCACACGGGTGGGGTCATGGACTGCCGCTTTTTCAAAGGCAGTATTATCGTCACACCTGAACCAGGACTTACAATCACTGAAGTTACTTTGCTTCCTTTGAGACGGGCGCGTCAATGAATTACAACTTCGTCTTGGTGTGGTCGCCGGCATCTGCTCAGTCGAGGCACCGAAACGATGAATTCTACGACATAATATTTGCCGCCGGGGGTGTTGGGGGCGGGGGAGGGACGGGGGATGGGGGCCGCCGAGATGACACGGGTCCTTGGAGAAAGCCAAGATGGACGCAAGGTGGCGGCACGCGATCTGGTATGTATCCTACGAGAGGCTGTTCTCTGCGATGTGGAGCTCTCGGGCACACGCCTCCTGTCGGTAATAGTTAGTGGTGTATACAATGGCCAACCAATGCGATTTGCCCATGGGGGTACGTGGAGACACTACACTTGATCTCGCTTACCCGTCTCCGTTGCTCCCTTCTCTGACATGGTGTTCCCCATAGTGAAGGCACTATGCGCTTGCTCTAATATCACAAAATCACATGTCTGGGAGTCCTAGCTTGCCAAAATCCAATCAAGCATCATTGCAGTTACAAGAAGCAAACCGCCAGACTTTGTCTGGCAACTTCATGTGGGATATTTATCAATTAATGCTCCCGGAAAAATAAGAGAAACCTAGGCTACTCGGGCCGTTGAAGTCCCTCCAGAAAGCTCAACACGGCCATTTGGCACTGCTCGGCGGCCTCCGAGTAGATCTCGTGGCCGCGAGACGGAATGAGCTGAAGCTGCGCCGACGCAATCCGGGCCTCCAGGTCCTTCATGGACTCGACGGTGACCATGGCACTGTTTGTGGGTGCGAGGATGAGCATGGGCGCCCGAATATCGCCGAGGTAGGGGCGCGAGTCCAATTTGCATAGGAACTCGGCATAGCCAGCCAGGCCCTCGCCGTCGCTCGCGGAAACTTCGTCGAGCCACCACTTTTTGTAGGCCGGGTCGGCGCTGGCGAGGGTCCCAGGCGTGGCGGCCAGGCGCTCAGCCCAGCCTCGAGACCCGAGCTGACGGCAGGCCTCAGGCCATGATGGGAGGCCGAAGGCGAGGAGCCGCTGGCCGGCCTCGGGCAGATAGGTCGGCGAGGAGCAGACGATGATGGAGCTGACACGGTCCGGGTAGGTGGCGGCAAAGATCTCGGCCAGCATGCCGCTGGTGGACTCGCCTAGGAAATGAACCCGTTGGATGCCGAGTTGGTCGAGGGTGTCGCGGATCTCCTCGATGATTGTAGTCGTCGAGTAGTCGTAGCCATCGCCCGGGACCGGCCTGCTTGAGTCTCCGTGGCCCCGTAGGTCGCGCCTAATGACGTTGTATTTGCGAGCCAGGGCAGGGACCCAGTGGTAGAAGTGCTGCGCCGTGCGGGCAAAGCCGTGCTGTATAAGTATCGTCTCCGCTGGCTTCCAAGGGTCGACAAAGCTGTCGTAGATGTAGGCCGTGGACTGGCCGTTCGCGTGGCGCACCGTCTCCCGTCGCGTCCGGGGACCACCGCCAGATGACGATAGACCGGCCGTGTCCATCTCTCAATGTCAACCAAGAGATTTGTAGGATGACAGCGCAAGTCAGCCACGAAGGTGAAGCAGGTTAAGTGACCGGCTGGTGATAACGGCCTTGGGTGGGGGGAAAACGGCAGCGGGTAGCGATACACTGTCAAGGTAGGTCAAAGGACGATCCGGTCAAGCACCCCAACACGCCCCAGCCCATGAGAGTTCAGAATATCTACCTACCTTTAGTTTTAATGGTTTCTCTGGTGCTCATGCCGTGTCGGATGGGGGTCTTTGAGGTACCTATGTGGGGTAATTATTTCAAGAGGGGGATTGCTGGTTTCCCTCAGAAGCGGGGAAACGGGTCAACACCGCCGCAGTGGTGTTGGGGTCGTAGCGTAAGTTTACAGGAAAGGGCGGGCAGCATCTTCTGCAGCTGTAGAAACATTAAATTTTCGAGTTTGAATTGACAAGCAGCTGGATTAACTCTATCTAAATGCTACCTCAGACAACGTGCATACAATCTGCCCCGAGGGTGTGTCTTGCACTGAGGGGAGGGCAAAGTCGCGCTCCAATTCTTGTCTCATGCCCATACATCCTCCTGCGTGATTCGTTAACAACGGTGATTTTTAGATATAGGCATGGCTGTTTCGGCCATGACCGTGTAGTATTGTAGCACACGTACCTGGTAACGCCCTGTGGCTCTCATATCGCTTACAGCGTTCTCTGCTTCAACCACTGAGATCTTTCTTTGCTGGGCTATGATTTGAGCCAAGGCAGCCCGAACCTCTGGAGCCATGTTGGCGGCATCCCCACAAACGTAGAAGAAAGCGCCCCGTTGCAGTAATCTGTAAACGTCTTCTGCTGACTCTCGAAGCCGATGCTGAACATAGCACTTCTGCGAGCCTTCCCTGGACATGGCTGTCACGAGCTGAAACTTGTCTCCCAGAACTCCTTGATGCTCCTAAAAATAAAAACAAAAAAACCGTTAGATTAGGAGGAAGAGACGAGATTCCGTCGTGACTTGCCTTCCATTCAGATTCGTACAAGAAATCCTCTGTCCGTCTGCGGCAGCCAAAGAACAGCAGTACGTGTCCGATGCTTACTCCCTCTTGGAATTGTCTTGTTCGTTCTTGGACAAAGCCTCGGAACGGCGCGACCCCTGTTCCGGGTCCGACCATGATGATAGGTGTTGCAGGATCGGAAGGCAAAGAGAAGTTAGAATGGCGAATGTGAATGGGGGCGCGGATCCCCTCGAATTTGTTTCGAGGGCCCGTTACGTCGTATGTTGGGTGGCCGACGTCGTCACTTGGATCGTCGTTGTTCTGCTTCCTCTTCAACGCGAAGAGGTAGTTAGAAGCAACCCCACAGAAGGGGTCATGCGTGCCTCGTTCACTTGTGACATCTGTCTTGACTGCCACGGTGATTGAGACCCGCTTTGGGTGGGCGAGTGAAGACGAGGAGATGGAATAGTAGCGTGGTTGTAACCTCGTCAAGCCCTCGATCAACATGGAGAAGGGGATCTTGTCCCATGTGACTCCTCTGCTGACGCGCATGAGGAGGCGGGCGAGATTCAAGAAGCGTGTCTGCTCATGGAAATACTCCTTGTCTGATCCAAGCCTTGTCATCTCGTTCTTGACTTCGTCGTTGGGAGAGAACGGCGCAAGGTCGGAGACCAACTGGCGAGATACCGGGGCGCAAATCTCCAGGTAGTAGCGGGCGATGGCGTCGTACGTCGTTGGCGATGGGAAAGGCACTTTTGCGGTCGATTCGAGTGGTACAACTCCGATGACGCTGTGTCTGGTCTCCTCCAAGCCCAGAATCCTCATGAGGCGGTTGACTTCGTCGTTTGGATTTGTTGGCCAGATGGCGAGATGGTCGCCGGTCTTGTAGGAAAGATTCGTACCGCCGATGTCGATCTCCATGTGAATACAGTGCCTATCGTGTGCCAGACCTGAGAACAGCTCTCGAGACTCGACGACGGGGGCAATGTAGGGATTGTGTGCGTCAAACGGGCCTTCATAGTCGCCAAGATATCTCTGATTCGGTTCCCCGAGGTACAACTCGTCAGACTCGCGGTTCAGGTCAGCACGCTTGGTGACGCTGAAAGCTGGCTCGTATGTTCCCTCGTGCTCCTGCAAGCCCATATCGGCCGACAGAGCCGCCCACATGGTATCCTTCCACGCAAGAAAATCCTCCTCCATGGTGCCTCCCCCATCATCGCCTTCGCCAACGCTGCCGATCCTCTTGGCTCCCTGGCCATCAAGCCTTTGGGTTACATTGCGGATCATAGAATTGTAGTGTTCGTACGTGCTGTTGCCCAGGCCGAATGCAACGTATCTGAGATTGTCAAGCCGAGGGCCGCCGCCGAGCTCACCAGAGATGTATTCGTGGAATCCGACGGCGTTATCTGTGGGCTCGCCTTCTCCATAGGTTGCTAGAACGAATATGACGACGCTCTCGCGGGGGATGGAGTCGAGATTGTCAAAGTCGTAATGCTCAAGGTCGGCAACCAGTGTTTCAAGCCCAAATCTTGTCTTTCCTTCCTTTGCTAGGCGAGACGCATAGCTCTCGGCAGTGCCCGTCTGCGAGCCGAAGAATATTATGCAGTTCTTTCCCATCTCTTTCATCCCTTTGACAAAGTCTCGGTTATTGCCCCCCTCAATGTTCCTAGGCTTTCCCACGCCATCTTTGGCCGAGCCCTTGGGGATGGCCCAGTACCTGCACTTGGTAAAATAGGCGACTAGGATGAAGCCCAGGATTAAGGCTCTCGCAAGGCTATCCCCGAGAATATCTTCCAGTCGCTCCATATTGGTGACCGCTTGGGTGACGCTCCCGCGAAGTGGTAAGCCAGAGCAAGTCTGTTCTGCAGACCCAGGCCATGTGCGAGAGCCTAAGTGGGATTTGGCGTCCATGGGCGTGAGGCAAGGAGAAGGAAGCGTATGCGAATTGACTGACGGAAGTCGGGTTGATGTGGCTCGGTCGATAGCTCTAAGTCGATTGTTCCCGCAAAACAGTGTTGGTTTGGTGATGGTGAATCTTCGCTGCTTGGGATCGGGGAGGTCCGTCTTCAAGACAGTCTCTCATTTACAATTATTCGGGCGTGGTATCTCTCACCACAAGCAGTCGCTGACCAGAACACTTCCTACCCCACCCCCAACTAGCACCCCACACCGTTCAGCCTCCGGCCGGCTCCTTGCAACGCTCCGAGTTCTCCATTTCTCTCTCCACAGTACCAGCATATGCTCTTCAGTCGACACAATGGCAAGCTGGCTGCGACCAACAAAGTACACATTGGAGAAGTTCGGCCGATACTCACCGCCCCTAACCGCACCAAGGAGCCAGGCCTTGGGGAAGCATGAGCCCTCCGCATTCTCACCCCATGTGCCAACATATCCCTCCACACTGCAATCATTATCTTCCGAAATAGCTATAGGGTCGAATTGCATTTGATCCTTTTAAATTTTAGACATTAGTAGAGATAGTATTCGAGTTCTGACAAAAACTCAAGCGCATATCCAACAATTAACTGCACCTTCGAAGTCTTTTGTTAGTTTTGTTCTCTGATTTACTCATCACATGGATGACGATAAGTTCTTTTTACTGCATAGGCTTCTTAGTCTGATGGGCAAGACAATCGTTGCCTGTGGAGGGCCAAGCTTGTGCCAAGCTTTTGCTGGCCGATGCAGGGCTGAATGGCTATGCGGAAGCCAGTGAAGATCCCAGATGCCGTGATCTAGATTCTCGCGTCATGTTTTGATATTTGGGCGGAGATGAGCATTGGGCAGAGACGGCATGGCGGTCGTCATAGTGGTACGCGTTGGACATGAAGCTTGCACGGCTCCCATTGGCTATTAGTCCCTTCTTAGCCCGTCGCCGCGTGGCAAGGGTCGGCTCTGACACCCTGATTCCTCGTCCAGCAATAGCTCGGGACTGTCAATGCTCATGGCGGCCACGTCCCGCTAGCGTGACAGTGAAACCCGGTCTGGAATACGTGAGTGGGGGTTTGATTTGATAGCTACTTGTATCAGAGGCTGAAATTACCTACCCCACACAGGTCTTTCTCCAAGAGGCACCGAGGATTGGGATTACAATTTGATGTGGGGGTTGGATCAACCCCCCACCCTGTCGTCATCAAAAGTTCTTATCATTGCTAGAGATGTTACAAAACAACATGAGCCCCTCGCGCCAAACTTGAAAACCAGTAATTTCTCTTATTTCATCCACAGCATCAAAGCTCTTCTTCTCGCCGACTTTTGGGCCAGACGCTTCAAGCAAGAGCCTTCGTTTCATTCCACACCATAACGAGCCATGGCATCATCCGCACCCTCGGCCAACGATGAATCTACCGCACATAAGACGCTCTTTGATAAGGGCCTGAAGATCCGATACGAAGTGGCCGGTACCGCCTATGTCGACGCCGCTCTCGCTGGGGGCTCTTCCGAGTTCGCGAGGCCCATGCAGGAGCTAGTCACAGAGGCCTGCTGGGGATCCGTCTGGTCCCGCCCTGGTCTGGAAAGGAAGCAGCGCTCGCTGCTGAACATTGCCATGCTATGCGCTTTGAACAGGGGGCCTGAGCTTGCGGCGCACGTCCGAGGCGCCATCAACAACGGAGCGAGCGAGGTTGAGATCAGGGAGACGATCCTCCAGGCAGCCATCTACTGCGGGATGCCTGCAGGGATCGAGGGCTTCAAGATTGCCGAGAAGGTTATACTAGGGATCAAGGCGGAGAAGGAGAAGGGTCAGTAAGCCTAAGCGTCTGTGAGATCACGTTTCGGCCGGTTCAACCAGCCGCGAATTAGATTCTATAATCTATCAGGGTTCAACATGCCTGCTTGGGTCTCATTCCTACCTTTGTGACTCTAATATTAGTTTATCATCGAGCTTACCGTTCTGTTCGGCGCTCTTCTCCTGGGAGCGCCGGACGGCATGTGACAAAATAGACGGAGTATGAGAATGTTGATCAAGTGTAAGCATCACGAAAGAAAACAAAAGGACGCACGATACGAGCAAAAGATTGGATCTAGGGAACCTAAACTCCAATATAATCGCTCATTTTGCCAGACCTCTTCTATCTTGTGGATTTGTAATTGACCTACACTCTCACACTCTTCGACTGCGAACGGTAGTGCTGGGTGAAATCGTAATTCAGAAGGTCAGTCTATCGCCAGATGATCAGCATATCCCACGGGATCATTGTGACTTCATCATGTGGCTTTGTCTGTCAACATACCTGCATCATGTTCATTGCCAGTTGCCGATCTGTCTCCGCCTTCTTGCACTGTTGAAGGAATTCATCACTCTCCAAGATCTTGTCCGGGTTGGCAGAGAGCAAGCGCAACAGATTCGCACTCGAAATTGGGTCAACAACTTCCTGGAATACCTTCCGACGAATGTCGCTGTAAACTTCGAGGATACTGTCATCGGCTTTGTTTTCGTAGATGCCCATCAGGCAGTCGTAGAGACCGCCCACATCAGCAATACCCCCAGTAAGACCGAGCCCACCGCTGCCACACATCGCTGTCAGCATCAGTTTGTACAAATCTCGGGTGGCGGGGTGGAGAAATACAAGGGATTGCATAGATGCGCCGCATCTGCAGCCAGCAAGAACCGCCCAACGCGCATTTTCTTGGCCAGTCGTTGATGAACTTTGTAGGGGCTGATGTTGACGAGCTTGTAATCACCAGGGCTGGGATGTCCTGGGAGCATGACCTTGAACTTCTCGGGCTGCCGGGCCACCAGCTCCTGTTGCGTGAGGCCTGGAATCTCTCCATACGTGACGCGCCACATGCCGTCCTTGGTGATCTTTGCGGCCATATACCAATGTTCAGGATGAATGATGAAGTTCGAATCGCAATACCCAAACTTTTCAAAGTCGTAGTACACCTGTCGCAGCTCAGCTTAGCTATTTCAAGGCCACCAAACGTCGGTTTTCCTGACAAGGGAGGCGTACATTGGTGGCCACAAGCTGCTCACCCCAGGTCTTTCCTGGAAAATCCAAATCGCCGAAAAGCGAGCGGCGGATGATGCTGTTGGCACCGTCGCACCCGACGATATAATCAGCTTCTACCCGGGACTGTTCCATTGTTTCGACATGCTCCGTATTAACGGACGCAATCGAGTCATCCTGGTCAATGGAAGTGACGCGGGTGTCAAAGAGATACTCGATGTTCGGCAGCTTTTTGCAGTGATCGTAGAGTAGATGTCCCAACTGATTTAGCGGAAGGGCAACCATTCGGTCCGGATCGTCTCCCAGGGCCTCATTGTTTATCCCAGCGATAAAAGTCCCATCAAGCTTGCGCCACGAGACTCTCTTTGGGCTGAACCCCAATGCGCGCAGGTCGTCACCTAACCCGGCTCGATTCATCACTTTCATGGCTGGTGAGGCATAATGCGTTGCACGAGGGTTATCATCTAGCTTGGAAGACTGTTCGACGATTGTGACTTGGATGTTCTGCTTCGCAAGCAGGAGGCCAAGAAGCTGTCCGGCAGGACCAGCTCCAACAATAATCACCTAAGACTCTAGTCAATCCATTGTCAAGGTTGCATTATCGCTGGCGACCATACTTTGCTAAACCCAGGAGCCATGGCTTTGGAGTAGCCGCGCGGGAATCTCAGAGCTGTGTGAAGCTTAACTGAGAAGAGGATGAGTTTCCAAGTGGGAGGGCAAGAAGCTCATTCAGCTTGGGAACCTCGTGTAAGGAGTCTATGTACATGTACAAGTGAGTTATACGGCAGGTAATGAATGGGCTACTTGCAAGCAGCATTGCCTCCGACCGCATAGTTTAAATACTCCGCACCTGCCAACCTTCGTGCAATCCCCACAACAGTAAGGAGTTGACAGACACCCCGGATGCTCCTACCCCTCATCCACGGAATGTAGTCTGATAAAGAGAGACCCGAAAGCATGATCGAGACATGGTTATCTCCCTAATTAATTACCCCATACCCAGGACAGGGGTTCTTGCGGGGTATGTACATGCCAACATGTCCCCACATTCGGTTCTCCAACACGTGATGTAATGGCCGAGGACGGCTGGAGGCGGTTCAAAGAGGACCCAATTCAAATCTTCACCAACTTGGATCAGGGTTGGAGAAGGAACGATGGGTTAAGCTTCATCCCACTATCGGCAAGGTCCATAGCAAGGACGTCGACGGTTAGCTTCGCCGGGGGGGGGTGGCATCGGACATTCCCCCCTCCCTCCAAAAACACCAACAACAGCAGCTAAAGATCCCCGCGTTGACGTCCCCATACCCCCCTTTTTCCTGTAAACCACCACGCACAGCGGCCCAGGGGTAAATATCTAATCCTTCACCTCTGAGGTGGTTAATGTTGAACTTTACCGTATGCTTTACCCCACACGAGACTACCCCAGGTTCAGTACAAGCTTATCCCAACGCAATGGCAGTATATTAATTACGACTGATTGACCGCCTCACGATAGCTCATATCGCATCAACCTCGTCAAATCAAATCAAACATTAACTAGCAGCAATTGAGCCTCCACCATCATGACCGCTCCAGTACTACCACTCCTTAAGGAGAGCAAAGTCGATGTCTTGATAATCGGAGCTGGCCCAGCAGGGTAGGTACAATCCATTCCAACGCTGACATGAATCGATGAGATAACTAGGCACTAACATGCTGTAGGTATATGGCTGCCTTGTGGCTAGCCCGTTTGGGGATCAAGACAAAGTTCATCGATAAGCGGTCAACCAAGATATTCACGGGTCAGGCGGATGGGCTACAGGTAAGATTATAAATATATAATCATGACAGACAATTCTAGACCTCGCACTAATTCATCAAATGGCAGCCCCGCGTTCTGGAGGTGTTTGAGACATTTGGGTTTGTGGACCGGGCACTAAAAGAAGTAGCCGTGGGCTATGAGGCCTGTTTTTATGAGCCCGACGAGAACGGCCGGATCCGACGTGTCGATAAGCTGCCCGAAGGTGTACCGGGAATCTCGCGGTTCAACGGCTCAGTCATCCACCAGGGTCGAATCGAGACTTGGCTTTCTGATGCCATTGACGAGTTCTCCGGCGGCGCGATTCGTGTTCAGCGGCCACTTCTACCCGAGTCTCTCGAGATTGACGCTGCCGATGCAGACAGCCCAACTGCATATCCGGTGCGGGTGGTGCTGAAGAAGCTCGAAGACGACAATGCCGCACCTGAGCAGTATGGCCACAAGGTGCAGAACGGGCTTTATCGACAGTTCGATGGGGACCAGACAAATCCCGCCAAATCCGACACTGGAGAGCATCAGGAGGTTGTACGGGCTAAATATGTCCTTGGCTGTGATGGCGCCCACTCGTGGGTGCGCCAGCAGCTGGGAATCGAGCACCGGGGCGAAACCACCGACTACGTGTGGGGGGTACTGGACATAACCCCGGTCACGGACTTCCCGGATATTCGCAAACGGTGCTCAATCCACTCACAAAATGACGGCAGCATCATGTTGATTCCGCGCGAGAATGGCATTGTCCGGCTGTACATCCAGCTCCGCCAGGTGGACCATCATGGGGACGGTAACGGCGACGACAGTGTGCCCGCAGGGGAAAAGAAGAGCGCCCGCGTCGATCGCAGCAAGCTGACAGCGGAGCACATCCTCGCGACAGCGCAAAAGATTTTCCAGCCATATTCTCTCGAAGTGGCCGAGATGCATTGGTTCACGGCCTACCAGATCGGCCAGCGCGTGGCCACAGCTTTTCAGAAGGATCAGCGCGTCTTCATCGCTGGGGATGCTTGTCACACCCACTCGCCCAAGGCCGGGCAGGGCATGAATGTGTCGATGATGGACACGTTCAACCTGGCCTGGAAGATTGGGTACGTGGTCAAGGGTCTGGCCCGGCCATCCATCCTTGCCACGTATGAGCTCGAGCGGCGTGCGGTGGCCGAGGACCTCATCGCGTATGATCTGAAGCTTTCGCGTCTCTTCTCATCCAAACCCGGCGACATATCGACCAATGATTTCCGCCGCGTGATTGACAAGGGTTCCGCCTTCACTACCGGCTGTACGGTCAACTACGACGCGTCCCTTCTGGTGGATAAACCCGCAGGCCAGCCACGGGATGTCCCGTATCACAGCGCCTTGGCGACCAAGCTGGCTATCGGCATGCGCCTCCCAGACGTCAGGCTTGTCATGCAGAGCGACGCGCGGCCATTGTTTATCAACCAACAGTTGCCATCCACCGGAGAATTCCGGCTGCTGATCTTCATCGGCGACTACGCCCAAGTGCCGCCGTTGAAGAAGCAAATGGACGACATTGGCGAGTACCTAGCAAGACCCGAGAACTCTCTACAGCGATTGCGGGCGGACTCAATACTGCAGTTAATGCTGATCCATGCCAGTCCCCAATCCAAGGTGGAATGGGATGACTTCCCTCTCGTGTTTCGCCCGCGCGATAAACGGGGCTTGATGAACTATTGGTTAGTCTTTGGCGATACGCCGAGCCCCCATGCGCAGACCGGCGATGCATATGAGCAATATGGAATCCAGAGGGATGTGGGCGCTGTGGTGGTGCTGAGGCCCGATGGATACGTTGCGAAGGTAGCTGAACCTACTGTGAAGGGGGTGAAGGACATTTGGGAATGGTTGGCGGGCTTTATAGTGGACTTGAAACCATCCATATGAGCCATAATTATTCATTTCAGTATAACAGATAGGAGCGAATACAAGGACATTGTGCTGGAACAAGACTTTCAATTCCCAGCACTCTCGGAATACTCGGCTCGGATCCTTGTTACCCTCGTCCACACCTATCTGTTTCCAAATCAGCCTCAGATATGAGACCTCAAATATGAGACTCCAAACCTGCGCAGTTGTGCTTCCCTTTTTCTAAAGTCAAGTCTGTAAGATGACATTGGTCGCGCGGCCAGTGGAACACGCAGACGTGGCTCAATGCGTTGCAATTCGAGTTGCCAGTCTCGGCAGCCTTGTCATTGGACAACCGCCTCCGTATCCGGGGTATGTACTCAGTGCACAACGACCTCGACAATAAACCCCACGTGCGCCAGTTGACGGTGGTGGATCCTGAGAACGAGGGAGATATCATGGCGTATGCGAAGTGGGAGGTACACCATGAAGCAACCCGACGAAAAGGTGGATAAGTTTCGACTCTTGCGAGATGCTGCGCAGGATGCTCTTGAACATCATTACAAGTCCTGGACCAGCGTCGTCAGCAGGTGTCTCAGCCTCCGTTTTCAAATGCGTAAGCATGACCGTTGCCCTCTAAAAGCAACTTGGTTTAGCGGTATGCGATGTCTGAGACCCTGGTTCAAAATTGACTCTCCCCGTTGAAAGGCAGTATTGATGGGGTTGAGCACGGTCTCTCGGTTCTGTCTCGGCCAACAAGCAATCTTCAGCTTGAGTCAAATTCTGCGCCAATAGTAATTAGGGCTGGCCTGTTGGTCGAACCAGCGCCACACCAGGAGCGGCATCCCTTACCTCGTTGCCTGTTTCTCTTCTTCGCTATCATACATCACTCACACTACATATACTTTCCGTCCCGCCTCCATCATCTGTGGTACCAGCAGCTTCCTCGTCACAAACATCCACCTATTCCTAACACATCCCTCCGATCTTAATCACTATGCATTTCACCGCTATCCTTCTCAGCATCACGGCTGTCCTTGTCGCAACTTCTACAGCTCAGTCCTGCTACCGGATTGAGAATTACGGGCACAGGCTTTGGTCTAGAGCTCCTCAGTGCTCTCAATGCCGGGAGGGCTGGAGATTTGAGCAGGAGAGAGAGCCACCCTGCAATAGTGCCGTTCAGTGCTGCAAGGGATACTGCTGCGAACATTAGGCAGTTAAACTCGAAATGTATGACAGGAGGAAACGATAAATTATACGCAACAAAGCTAACACCAAGCTAGGATTTGGGCGGTTTATGCGGCGATTGTGCGGGGGTCAAAACCGCAGACGTTTTAACTGGCAGCTTCTTTGAATCCTTAATCAAAGGCTTCTTCAACGATAAGCTTGCTGTTTTTGTGTCGCTGTTAAATCGAAGTTGCTGTTGCTGTTGTTTGGCACCTGGCAGGAATCAACTGCAGATGTAGAAACACAGGCAAATTCTTCGCTACCCCCCTCCCCCCTCCCGGCCTGTCCGGCGCCCCTTGAAAAATCGAAGAAAAGCGGAGAAGGTCTTGGCGCTTTCGGCCAGTGCGCCCCTGCCTGCCTGTGGAAACCCCCCCCTGCATTTTCGACGTTCATCTGCCTTTGTCAAATTTTGTAAGCCGTACCCTAGCCCAACTACGGCTAGACTTATCATGCCTTGTAGAAGACGGGCATATTGGCACATCACATAGCCGAGAAACGGGGTCTCCCTACGTCACTGGTAGAGCGCCGAGAAGTGAGAAGAAAAGACTGGCCGAGATGACCGGCATTCCCCGGACATTCCAGATTGTTGGGGCAAACTGCGGGGTAAGGACGCGGTGCGCACACCACCACCCTCGTAACTAATTCTTTTCCCGCGTCTCGCAGGCATCTCTCATTTTCATCCCCATTTTCATCCCCTGTTTTCATCATCGTCGCAATCACAAGCCTTTGCAATGTGGCCTATTGTTACGCTATGCTAGGTATTGTTTTTACTACGTCATAGCACCACAGCCATGGACATGCACACGGACATGCAAGACTCTTCATTTCACACCTTTCCCGCGCAAAAGCCGCCAGACAAGGTGATCCGAGCCGTGCACAGATGCCCACACTGCCCCAAAATCTTCAAAAGAAGCGAGCACTGCGCTCGCCACCAGTTCTCCCACAACAGGCAGCGACCGTATCCCTGCCAATTTTGTGGCAAAACTTATGCCCGAAAGTGAGCTCGAACTGATCCAGGACCTTTGGGACGGGATAGATACTAATGCCTAGACCATCAAGGGACCTCGTCAAGCGACACGAACGGACTATCCATGCCGAGGCGTATTCGAAGCTCGTTCCCACCAGCGGTGGTGAAGCTGGTACAAATGATGATGCCAGTCGCCATCCGAGTCAAATCGCTCCTCCATCCGAGACTGCCCAATCTCCGTCCTCTCCAGATCCAGCACACCCGCAAACAAGCGTCGAGGAGTTTGGGCCGATTGACGGCCCAGCAACACCGGGCTCAACCACTGCGCCTTCAAATGGGAGCCAGGACACGCAAGCCATGCTCCCTGAAGGGGTTGGGGCGCTGTCAGTTTCCAGTGCCACCTCGCGACACCCGATTCATTCCGGACATGGTAACGCGACTCAACCCCATGCAACTTCGACGGGTCTACGGAGACCCTACGAAGCAACCTCGCACGGTGACGGAACGAGCACCAGCTACCCGATACCGCAGATGCCAGATCCTATGTCCATCGCTCCGATAGGCCTCCTGGACTTTGCAATGGGCGAGATACTCTGTGAGAATGATGTTCGGCGTCAATCGGGGGAGCCTGGAGCGCTGGCCCAAGGGGGCGATCGGTCGCGACGGCCGAGGACAGGCGATGGTGCACAGAGGCCCCTCGCTGCTACAGAGAATTCCGACTCGATACCAACATCAGATGCATACGATGCTAGGCAGCCCCTTCATTCTCGAATTGCATCGTCTGCGGATCCCCTCAGCTTCGTACAATCCTTGGATTTTCTCAACCATGATCTCGGCATGATGGGGGGTGACTTTCTTTACAGCCAAGTCTTGGAAATGCCAGAACCTGGTGGTTTCTTCAATTGGCAAGGAGGCATGGCCGGTCTCTTGGAATTTCCGACCCAGGCCGCGCACCCGCAACCAAGATCTCCCGACGAATCTTTCCCCACTCCGGAAAGTGTTGGAGCAGCTGAGCATAACGGGCTTGACAGGCAGTCGAAGGAAGGATCAACGCGGCTACCCAAAGTACTGAAGGAGCAATCTGTAAATCCCCCTCGGCTAGCCATAGGCGAGAACACTTACGGGAGGCTACTTCTCGACACCTTCGAGCGGCTGGGACAACGCGACGAGGATGCACTTCCCGTCAAGAACTGCCGCGAAGTTCAACACCTGATCAATGGATATGTCGACTATTTTCATCGACATTTTCCCATCCTCCACCTCGCATCGTTAGTGCCTTGGGAGACACCGAGTCCCCTTATATGGGCCATGTGCTGCATCGGCGCGCTGTATCGGCTGGACCGTCAGAAAGCACGTCGCATATACCGGATCACAGTCCAGATGCTCAACGCGCAGTTCGACCAGGACGGCATACCGATACCGTTGAACTCCCCGAAGAGTGCGAACGAATGGCCCTGGGATGATACCCACACGAAGCAAGCCTCCCAAATGCGGCCTCTATGGCTGATGCAGACGCGGGTGTTACTTTCACTTTATGCATCACTCGGCGAGGATAGCACTGTAGCTGTTGCCGAGTTTGAACGGCTGGGAATGTTCACCAAGGCAAGCACACCCTTACAACCGAACCATGCTGTTTCATCGACGCTCATACCACATTGCAGGAGTACCGATTACGGCGAGACTACCTCCGACGACAGGAGCCGTCGTCGGGGTTATCCTGGAGGGATTGGATCGAAAGAGAGTCCAATAAGCGGCTTCTATGCGGCATATTCATCCACAGTAATCTGCTCGTCACCCTCTACGATATTTTACCCGGATTTGATACCACTCAAGACCTTGATATTGAGGTCCTTGAAGAAGAAGGCCTGTGGAATGTGTCGAGCGCCGAGGAGTGGCAAACTCTACGGCAGACAACAGCCGCGCCCACCAAGACCATCCAAACCGTGCTGGTTGACACGCTCTCGGGCGTGACGGACGATGATCCAGCCCCCGAGCCTTACTATATCTCGGGATTCACGGCGCTCATTGTGATACACGCAGTCAACGTCCATGTTTGGCATATCAGCCAGGTCTCCCAGACCCTCAGCAAAGGTCTCAAGACGGGAGGTTACGCTTCCAACGTCCTGTTATCACACACCCTCGCGTCGCTGGCAAGATGTCGTGACGTGCTACGCCAATCTCGGACCGAGACTGCTGAGCCTCTGTGGGACGACACAGAAGGTCCCTTGTTGTTCAATTGCGAGGCCATGCTCCGCGTGGCCTACACCCGCTTGTTCACCGATGTGAGCATGCCGCAGAGATTCACGCTGCTTTGCAACTCCGGCGAGGACAGGCCTGCGGCGCTGAGAGCCTTGGTGACGGCTAAGCAGGAACGAAGTCCGTTGATGACCAAGGCGGTTGCTTACGCCCTTGACTCCTTCTTCGTCCCGATGAAGATAGGATACCTGCTAGTGAAGAAAACTGCTGCTTTTACGTGGAGTGTCGAGCATGCGATTGCTGTTTGGGGTTGTGGTAAGTCAAAGAGGCCGATGAGTGTTGAGGAATCACAGGGAGACTCACTAAAGATTCTGCAACAGCCATCCTCCTATGCCGGTGGATTCACTGCATTGAAACCCACGGATCGCGGGATGCTCCGACAGAAGCAGAGGCTCAACTCATCGACCAGGTAAAGGCAGTGTTGAAGGATACGGATTGCGATTACGAGGAAGGTCGGTCTTTGGCAGCAGCTGTCGCAACGGCATGGGCTTCACTGAACAATGATGTGAGAGCGGACCCCTGCTTCTTCGAAAGGCTTCTTTGCCGCGCTGTTTTAAGAAAGAGTGAAACTGACTGTCCCAATTAATTAGGTCTGGGTTTGGGGGATAACGGCAAGACTGGGTCAGATCCTGGCTGAGCTCTCGCAGGCGTATGAGTCCAATTACAGGGAACACCGGGAAAGGCGAATGGTGGAGGATTGAAAGGTGGATAATGAATCACAGCATCTACGGATCGTAATACAGCCTCTACGGCGGCGTTTGTGGGAGCAGGGTCGAGCATCTATCTTTAAAGTTGGCCAACTTTGTCTTTTTTTTTTTTCCTGCTTGATAAAGCAGTTTACCCCACATGCGATGCCGCACAAAGGGTGATTACCATCTGCCGTAAGGTATGGTAACTAGGTCGACGGCCTACTGGGGTATTAGGAGATGTTCCCGTTGAGGTGGAGATGTAACCATCTGGCACTTTGCTGGGCTTAGCTAACCTTGACTGCAAGAAACTATGAGTTGCTCAATCAAGAATCACTGCCCAGCTGCTGCTGCTCATATCCGATATCGCCGCTTTTTGACTGCATGAGAATCGACCGCCAACGTGTTGGGCCTCTGGAAAATGTGGGGGTCCCCCCACCCAACAATGAAGCCGGCTTCAGTCTAGATATCAGCATCGGGTAGATGAACCACCGAAGTCTTCCTTTTGATTACAAGTATTGAATGTCGAACATCCTGAGATTTCAATCCTGCAGCAATACAGCAGCAAGCCTACCCCCTACTTACCACTCATTTTTTCACAAGAGAGCCCACACAACACCAGAATGGCGACAAGCAACGAGCGAGGCTTACGGCCGGGCGTGTATGCCGCGACAATGACATTTTTCCAGCCGGAGACGCACGACCTTGACCTCGAGACGCAAAAGAAACACATTGTCCGTTTGGCAGATGCTGGTTTATCTGGAATCATCGTCATGGGCTCCAACGGCGAAGCCCCACACCTTGACCGCAAGGAGAGAGTAGAAGTCGTGAAGAGCGTCGTCGACGCCTTGAACAATTCAGGGCACTCCGATTTGCCCGTCGTTGTTGGTGCTTCTGCACCGTCGGTGCGAGAGACGGTTGCTTTGTGTCGCGAGGCGAAGGAAGCAGGCGGCTCACACGTGCTCATACTACCTCCCTCGTACTTCACGGCAGCGATGACACCGGATACGATATTCGAATTCTACATGGAGGTTGCTGCTGGATCTCCGCTTCCGGTTATTCTCTACAGCTTTCCCGCCGTTACTGCTGGGATCGAGATGAGCTCTGACCTCCTGATCCGCATCTCGAAGGGCCATCAGAACATTGTCGGAACCAAGTTCACTTGCGGCGACACCGGAAAGCTTGCCCGAGTTGCTCGTGCTATGGATGCAAAGACGCCCTCCCAGCCACACAAGCCCTATTGGGCTGTCGCTGGGCTCGCCGACTTTTCACTCCAAGCACTGGTAGGGGGAGCATCTGGGGTCGTGGCTGGAGGAGCGAATGTACTTCCCAAAACCAGCGCGAGGGTGTACGAACTGTATCGACAAGGCAGAATTGAAGAGGCTATCAAAGTACAGTCCCTGCTGTCTGAAGGCGACTGGCCACACACGGCGGCGGGAATTGCGGGCACCAAGGCAGTCTTGCAACAGGCTTTTGGCTACGGAGGCCCGCCAAGATCGCCACTGCGACAGCTGTCCACCCAGGCAGCGGATTCAGTGGCCAACGCCATGCGGGAGGTGCTCAAATTTGAGAAGAGCATCTGAGAGGCCAGTCATTATGGTGCCGCATGGAACTTTTAGTCTTCTTTGTCTCCTTTTGGCTTGAATAGACGTGGAGTAAACTAGTCTACATTTTTGTGCCTCAACCCCTGTGCAGCAACCCCCGTTGACATTATTGACTTATCTGAATTGTCTGCCAGAAGCCTGAAATACAGTTGGTCATCTTCTGTTATCGGTCAGCCTGCCACGGAGAAGCTTGCCAAGCATCATTTCAGTCATGCTGCTATTATACCCCACCATCCCCACTCCCCATTCAGCACCACATATATAGGTACATATAAATCAGGGAATTGGGCTTGGGATGTGGGGTGTGGGGATGTGGGGGTACATATATGGGTTTCCGCTTTGCGTTGTTCCTGTATCATATTAACGAAAGATAGTCATACCATCTCAATACATCCCAGTCACTCTTCAAGGGCTCCAAAGGGCCGCCGGGATAACTGATATCGATACCCGACCTTCTAGCACGATGACGACTTACCACGTTGACGATGCTGAATTTTCTGGCCTACGGGGCAGGACCGTTTTGCTGACTGGGTGCGCAACGGGGATTGGAAGGGAAGCGGCGCACCTCGCACACAGTGAGTCGCGCGACTATCGTGTTGTCACAAACACAAGGTACTAAATCAATGTGAGAACACGGAGCCAACCTCATCCTTGGAGATTGGGCTGAGAAGGAGGGCCAATCTCTTGAATCAGAACTCAAAGAGTGAGTGTATCCTTCAATACCATTGATACAGGAGAGAAGTTGCGTTGCTAACACTTTAACCAAAGCCGCGTTCTGTTTCGGAAAACCGATGTGTCATCTTGGCCTGATCTTCTGGCTCTGTTTGACGCCGGCTGGAAAAGGTTCGGATCGTTGGACATTGTGCTAGCGAATGCTGGTATCAACGAAGTTGGCAACATCTTGGAGGACAGGTACGACTCGGAAACTGGCCAGTTGAAGCCGCCTGTCCTGCAAACATTGGATGTCAACCTCTTGGGCGTTATCTACACGACGAAGTTGGCCATCCATTATTTTGCCAAACAGCCAAACAAGAGGTTCCAGCTCGTCTTGACAGGGTCTGCGGCGTGGTCAGTCATACAGTCACCTGAGTTTTGCGATAGTCAGCCGCTAATGTCACACTCCTTTCCACAGTTTTCTTGATACGCCTCCTCTATGGACGTACGAAGCAGCAAAGGCTGGCGTAATGGGTTTGATGAGATCATTGCGATCGCAATTGCCTAAAAACAACAACGTAACCATCAACATGGTGGCTCCGTGGTTGACAAGTGAGGAACACACACCCTTAAACGCCCCTCGAAGTACAATGTGTTGACCCTTACATTAGAAACCCCCATGCTGAAGGATGAGTTTTTGAGCGTATGGGGGGACCTCCCAGCCAATGAGCCCATTGGTGTCGCAAGGGCGCTTCTTCTGCCCGCAGTTCGACCGGATATGAATGGGAAGTCGCTTTTCATAGCAGGACATGAGATTGTTGATTTTGAAGAGGGCTTAGAAAGGACGAAGCCGCAGTGGATGGGGGAGCAGTTAAGCAGGGATGTGGACGAGGGTCAGAGGCGGATTGTGCCATGAAAGCAAACTGTCGATCGCTTGGGGTACAAGAAAAACCAACCCAATAGCACAGGCCCACAGTTATCGGAATATTGGAAGCTCGCTGTATCCCTGAAAAGAAATCGGTCTTCCATCATCGCAGGGGAAACCTTCAAAGCCAAGTAGTAGTCTCTTTTTAGACTTCCAACGTTCTATGACAATCTAGTTTTCAAGTTTTGCACCACTGCATCACCGAATTCCACAGTGCCCGCCCGACCCCCTATGTCACGAGTGCGTACTCCTGAGTTGATGGTTTCTTCAACGGCTTTCTCTATCGCCGCTGCTTCCTTTTCCCTGCCGAGTGAGTACCGGAGCATCAGTGCCGCAGAAAGTATCGTCCCAACAGGGTTGACTACGCCTTTTCCTGCAATGTCGGGGGCCGAGCCTTTTCAACTGTTAGAAACGAAAAGCCCCCGCGCAAACGGAGGCTGCTGCTTACCATGAATTGGTTCATAGATTCCTCTGACTGTCTTGCCTGGTCCGGGAATGTCGCACAAGCTTGCACTTGGCAGCAACCCCAAGCTGCCCGGAATGACACTCGCTTCGTCTGAAATGATGTCTCCGAAGAGGTTGCTCGTCAGAACTATGCCATTCAACGCAGTTGGGTTTTTAATCATGAGCATTGCCGCAGAATCAATCAGATGATGGCCAAGAGGCACATCTGGGAATTCTTTCTCGAAAACCTCCGAGACCACCATTCTCCACAGTCTCCCACAAGCGGCAAGCACGTTTGCTTTATCCAGACTCCACACTGGGAGTGGAGGATGATGCTGCTTGGACAAATAGCCAGCAAGCCTTGCCACTCGTTCGATTTCCTCTCTCAAATAGAAATCGACGTCTTGAGCCGAGCTCAAGGCCTCGTCCGGGTCCTTGCGGTCAGGGCCGAAGTACATCCCCCCGACGAGTTCCCTAAGGATGGTGAAGTCGGTTCCACGGGCAATTTCTGGCTTCAACGGCGATAGGTTGAGCAGCGACTCCGCCGCAAAATTGCACGGTCGAAGATTCCCGAACGCATTCATGCCCTTCCGGAGACCGAGCAAGCCTTGTTCCGGTCGAACTAGTCCCGTGCCCCATTTCTGTACAGAATCTAATTATCAGCACTGGTGCAGGAATACGTGGGGATTGGAAAGGATCTGCCAACTGACAGGGCCACCTATTGCACCCAGCAAAACAGCATCGGCACTCTTAGCAGCCTCGAGGGCTGAATCGGTCAGAGGGACTCCGGTCGTGTCAATGGAGGCCTGGAGAAATCAGATCAGAAGATGCATCATCAACGTACGCACGAGCACTTACGCCTCCCAGTAGCTGCGTGTCAAATTCGAACTTGATTGGGTCTCTCTGACTCTCGAACACCTTAAGTACCTGCGCTGAATATTAGTATGTTGAGAACAGAACATAAAACTGAGGCCTCCCCAAGCCAGCTTTTAACCCAGAGGATGCAATACAAACCTTGATTGCCTCGTCCATCACCTCTGGACCACAATTGTCGCCGGGGAAAACGACAATCTTAAATGTGCTCATCATCTTGGAAGTTTCGGCGAAGTTACAACAAAGTCGTTCAGCTGGCAATTCCCTTGTTGATGCTGGTTACTGTCAAATACACACTCTATATATGGGGGTGTGTTGCATCGCTAGCCGTCAAGCGATATCGGCCGTCCTCTTTCGCGCCAAGGCAGTTTCGAGGCGGGGTGGTAGGTATTTCCGAATTTGGCAGGGGCACTAGTGGGGGTAAATTTACCCCTAATCTTCCCCACACAACTCATGAACTGATTCGAGTTCGCTCAGCCAATCAGGTTAGGCAGCTGCTGAGGACCCCCATTGGTTATCGCCATGACAAGGATCACCGATATATCAGCAAGTAGCTGGCTTTCTCGCTGTTCCTTTTCCACCTCAACTTCTCTCGGTTTGCTTCCGCATGCGAAGTTAATATTCGCGACCGTGATAATGTCGTCTATCGAACCGCCGCCGACATTGACGAAAACATACTCCGGCATCCCGGAGCGCCTCCTTGATAAGGCCACAAGCCTGAAGCGCGAAGTCGTTGCGTTGACAACAGACAACGTGGTTCCGCGCACAGAGAACGTCGAACTGCCGATTATCCCCACTGGGTATTCACGATCTCGCTTCAACTCGGCGATTGAGGCCATCGAGCTGCTAATCGGACGCCAAAATGTTGAGCTGAATGTAAAACCACTGGTTGACGGCTGGTAAGAAGAACCCTATGAGAGCATTCTCGGCATTAAAACAATAAACTGACGACTCGTAGGTATCTAGAACGTGCGTTGTCTAATTGCGAATCATTTGGAAGTTGACTAAAACCACTCGTAGATCCAAATACTCACGATGCCTTCCACCTTGTTGAACAAGAAGAGCTTGTCTCGTCCGCTACCGTGTACCCAGCATCGACCGAGGAGGTAGTACACATTGTCAAGTGGGCCAACCAATATGAAATACCTATCTACCCGATCTCGATGGGCCGGAACTGTAAGCCAGACCCACCGCACTATCATTATCTAATTGTCGGCATGCTGACCGTTGGCTTAGTGGGCTATGGTGGTGCTGCCCCCAGAGTCCGGGGCTCTGTGATCGTGGACCTTGGCAAGCGAATGACCAAAATCCTCGACATCGACCCCGATACATGCACATGCCTCCTCGAGCCCGGGGTCTCCTTCTATGCTCTTTACGAAGAGATCCAGAGCCGAGGGCACAAGCATCTTTGGATTGACGTTCCTGATCTCGGCGGTGGCTCAGTCCTCGGTAACACGGTTGATCGAGGCGTTGGGTACACGCCTTACGGAAACCACTATGAGGCCCATTCCGGAATGGAAGTTGTCCTGCCGACTGGTGAGGTCATCCGCACGGGAATGGGAGCGCTACCGGGAAACAATACCTGGCAAATCTTCCCGTACGGCTTCGGACCGTATGCTGAGTACGTAGATGCGTGTTGTGGCACCTCAATGATACAGATAACTAATCAACTGCAGCGGGATCTTCACTCAGTCCAACTTTGGCATCGTCACAAAGATCGGCATGACACTGATGCCAAACCCCGGTGGCTCTGAAGGATTCGTGAGTGTTGAGAGGCTGCCAGACATTCAGAATCTAACTAACATCCTGATCTTAGATGTGTACTTTCAAGGAAGAAGAGGATCTTGCCAAGATTGTAAGTCACACGAAACCGTGGACAGCAGACCATCCGCTGACCCCCCCGTTAGGTTGAAGTCATCCGCCCCTTACGGATCCGAAACATTCTCGAGAATGTTGCTCAGCTCAAGCATGTCGTCCAAGAGGTTGCCCTTCTAGGAAAGCCACGATCGCACTGGTACAAGGGCAAGGGAGCGGTCCCGCTGGAGAGACTACGAGAGATCGCTTCGACTCTACCTTGTGGTGATTGCTCTTGGGTATACTATGGGAACGTCTATGGGTAAGCAAAACACATAATCATGGATCATATCTAGAGATTTCGCCAACCCTAATGATACACAGGCCAAAGGAGCACAGAGACGAGAAGTTGAAGATCACCAGAGAGGCTTTCGAGACGGTCCCTGGTGCAAGGTGGATACCACGTGAATCCCTGCCGAGAGACCATTATTTCTTCAGCCGAGAAAACATTGCGAGCGGCGTTCCCGAGTTTGAGGAGCTCAGGTGGCTCAACTGGCATGTGAGTCGAGAAAAATAGCCTGGTCGTTGCGAAAGCCAAACACTGATTCTCTCTAGGAAAACGGATCTCACGTCTTCTTCAGTCCAGTCTCAGCTCCACGAGGTGAAGATGCATTGAAGTTGTTCAACGTAAGTAGTAACCCTGCCGCTCCAGTAGACCCGGGACTGATGTGGCGATAAGATTGCCAAGAAATGGCACCAAGAATGCGAACTCGACTCTTTTCCGGCTTGCTGCGTTGGCCTGCGCGAGATGTACTTCATTGTCAACATGGTCTACGACCGGGGTGATCCCGTGTCCAAAGCAAACGCATACCGGTGCATGCGGGGAATGATCGCAGATGCTGCTGCAGAGGGCTTTGGAGAATATCGAACACATCTGCTCCTCGCAGATCAAGTTGCTGGGACCTACAGCTGGAACAACAATGCGTTGATGCAGTTCCACAATACAATCAAGGACTCGTTGGACCCCAATGGGATCCTCGCACCAGGCAGGAATGGCATCTGGCCGAAAAAGTACAGAAACAAGTCCTGGGAGCTCGGCGAGAATGATCTTGGGCCTCGCACGCAGGGGTTGGAAGTTTCGCACCGGACCAGAGAGATGAAAGAGGGGGATAGGCAATAAGCTTGGATGCTTCAGGTTCAGCTACATACATGATTGTCATCGCAATGATCCCGTATTCTTCCATGTTCCAGTCCAACCGTTACCGTACCAGTACCTTCTTCCTGGGCCTGTGACACTGTACACTTCAACACCATTATGCATGGAAAATCTGTGTGTACCTCCCCCACACTGCTTGGGCCGGAGAGACGATTTAGTCGAGACCCGTATGGAATGTGATTGCACGGAGCACATTGATTCCCCACCAAACTTGGCCGGGTAGGTACATGCTTACCTAATTAAGCATTGCGGGACCTCCTGTGTCACCTTTTGGCTAAACTACGGTACGTACCCGAGAAGGCTGTCCGCCGAATGCACTCCAACCTGCTCTTCCCCGGATTCTCATCTGGGCTGCTGCCAAGTGTGGGGCTACGGGTACTGATGTCTGTGTCAGCCTCCTGTGATGTCCGTGAATGCGGGGTAATTAGACGAGCTGCGGAGCTGGGCATTTTAGCACCAGATCACTAAACCTCTTTGGTGCGCCTCTGAACCCGCCCATTTCCCCACACTAATCTGACCCCAGATAAAAGTTACCCCACATACTAGTCCGTTTGGGTGACATTGCGAGCGACGACATGCCTCACAAGGGCGAAAATCAATCTTGGCTGGCACAACATTCCCATATGGCGATGCGTTGACAGTTAATTATAAACCACCGCAGTCTCCTCCAGCCCGACGAGCAGTTACAATTACACGCATTCATCGCTCATGGTCTTACTGAGTAGACCCGACACTGTTCAGAAACCCCCATAAACATCCCCCTATCGACAACATGGCTTGGGGCATTCTCGAGCATAAATCGGGCTTAGCCAATGTCCCTGGGACTGCCCTACTGGAGCAGGAATCCGGCGACGAAGCCGTTCACCTTGAGCATCTCAAGAAGACAGTCCGTGGAGGCGAGACCATCATTTTGGTTCCTCAACCCTCGGATGATCCAAACGACCCGTTGAACTGGCCCTTGTGGGCAAGAGACATGCTCCTTTTGCTCTTTTCTTACTGCTGTATTCTCTGTATTGGCGGGTAAGTTACTCCTAGTTGGTTGTTCAGTGGGATGCGATGATTAATATTGTTAGGATCGGGCCCATCTTGTCGTCCTTGGCGCTGGATCTGACCATCTTGTTCAATGTTTCATTTACGGACGTCTCGCTCCTCACCGGCTACAGCCTCTGCGCGACTGCGGCCTCGGGACTGTTCATTTCGGCAGCGACTCACAAGTATGGCAAGCGGATGACTCTTCTTTTCTCCATGGTTTTCGCCTTTGTTGGCACCACATGGGGAGGCTTTTCTCAATCTTACGGCTCTTTGCTGGGTGCCCGCATTATCCAAGGCCTCTCCGTCTCCTGGTTTGAGTCCGTCTTTTTCGCCATTGTGGGAGATCTCTATTTCGTCCATGAGCGAGGGGTTCGCGTCGCTATAGTGACGACATGCATTGCCGGGATATCAAACCTACCTCCCCTTCTCGCCGGGAAGATTGCCACAGCCCTGGGATGGAGATGGGTTTTCTGGATGTTAGCCATCTTCCTTGGCGTGGGCCTGGTTCTATGCATTTTCTTTGGATGGGAGACAGCGTACAACCGTCAGGCATTTTACAACACCGACTTGGCTTCCGAAGACGTAAGTCATCTTGTACCCCTCAACTCTATGGTAATGGTAATAGTCTCCTGACATCTCTTCGCAGAACCTAGATTCTCTCGACGCAAAGCGGGCTGCTGGAGCCGCTTATCATCATGGCGAAGTTGGTGATGCTGATGCCACGGCACTCTCAACAGCACAAACCACGACCGCAAGCGTTGCCGTTCCTCGAAAGTCCTTCATTGCTCGTATGCATCCATACTCGGCAACTTACTCGGATGAGCCGCTGTGGAGACTTGCCATCGAACCCATCATTGTCGTTTACAACCCAGCCGTGATCTGGGCCATCTTGTTGATGTCGTTTCCGACGCTCTGGGCTGTGGCAATCAACCTTCTCACCGCACAGATCTTTTCGGCCCCGCCCTTTCTCCTCGACACGGCACAGCTGGGTTACCTTTCTGCCGGGCCGACCGTGGGTGGTTTCATAGGCTCAATCGCTGCGGCCGCTATCTCTGATCCCTTCATCAAATTCATGGCACGCAGGAACAAGGGGGTTTATGAGCCGGAATACCGCTTGGTTCTCATCATCCCTGCCTTCGTGCTGTCGGCAATTGGCTACTTTCTCTTTGGAGCTCTGATCCAAGCGGGAAAGAGTCCCGTTGCAATGGCCGCGCTGTGGGGAATCACAGTAGCCGCGCTTCAGTTCATGATCATGGCTGTCGGCACCTACTGCGTCGATGCTTATCGCACCATCAGCGTGGAGATTTTCATCTCTACAATGGTTATCAAGAACTTCATATTCTACGGATTCTCCTGTGAGTTTCCGTCCTGCACCCTAGGAAGAGTCTTTGCTAACAATACGTTCGTCTAGACTTCTTAAACGATTGGATTGCACGATGGGGAGCACGGCGCATGTTCTACTGTGTCGCGGGAATCCAGATTGGGTTGTGCCTGACTACTGTTCCACTGTATGTCTTTGGCAAAAAGCTACGGGCTTGGTGGCACAAACCATCACGTCAGCTGTAATTCACCACGGTTGGTTGGCACTGAGAGATTGTTAGCGATGAGCAAACAGCCCCTGACCCCAATTGGCTGAATGAAGAAGAAAAGATCTTATGATAGTCAATTACGCGAATCTAGTAGCAATGGACCAATTTGTTACACTTCGATTTGCAATGAACATGATCGAATATGAGAATATGATGAACAAAACGTCACAACCTGTGATCATGGTAACCTGCACTCCCTCCAGGCTGCGATGGAGCCATGTAGTGCTAGAGCGTCAGCTCAACACTTTGAACAAAACTGGAAATGAGGAAGCCTCTTTCTTCACATATGGGCAGCCGCACTCTGGAATAATTACTCCATACAGTACATGTCGAAAAAGGAAAAAGGGGGAAAAAAAAAAAAAAAAAAACCGTAGGACTGAACCCCACATTTACTCCCTACCATAGTACAATCTACGTCCCAACTACCCCTCACTACCCCCACATTGCGCGTCCACAAAGTGGGCTGGGGTTGAGGAAAAGCCCCCAAGTTCCAAAATGGGTTACTACCCATCTTAAGTTGGCTATATTCGGCAAAACTGCCACATTGGTTGATGTACATACATATATCCTGACCAGGTCATACTTGCGGCACGAGAGCTCCAAAGTTGGAAACAACGTTGCCCTTTGAAACCCCACCATGGCGCTTCTCGAGAGAGTCACTGACCAAGAGTTGTTAAAGTTGAAGGGGAAAACGGTCATAATCACCGGGGCGGCAAGTGGTATTGGAAAGTCTGCAGCATTGCTTGCTCATGGTTCGTATACAGTCCAGTTTCAGTGAAGATTTGGACCAAGAGGGAGGTGCTGGCCAATCCTATGACCAATTGCTGACAATACGATTCGTTCAACAGCTGCCGGCGCCAATGTCGTAATTGCGGATTTGAGTGAGGATACCGGAGAAGCATTGAACGAGTTTAAAGAGTATGCCACCACTAAAACTACCCTCCACTATCGCTTGGTTGGCTAATTGACATGGTGGTTGTGCTTTAGACGAATACTCTACGTCAAAGCTGACGTATCTTCATGGTCCGAGGTCCTGAATCTCTTCACCCAGGCATGGGACCACTTCGGATCCATCGACGTCGTGCTTTCCAACGCTGGCACCCATAATTTCGAAACGATACTGGATGACGAATTGGCCGAAAATGGAACGCTTGCGCCTCCCAACTTGAAGAGCCTCGAAGTAAACCTGCACGCCGCTGTCTACTGCGCGAAGGCTGCGATCTACTTCTTCAAGAAGCAGCCGGAGAAGAACTGTCAGTTGGTATTTACGGGATCTGCAGCAAGGTAGGATTCCACAGGATTGCACCAAAGAACTATGCAAGAAAGATATTAACAGTATTCCAGTATTCTGGACACTCCGCCACTGTTCCTGTACTGCGCAGGCAAAGCCGGAGTCCTGGGGTTGATGAGAGGGATGAGAAAAGGACTGCCTTCAGACAAAATTACGGTCAATATGGTCGCACCATGGATGACGGGTAAGTAAACCGAACCGGGTTTATTCAGTGACGCCTCGAAGAGTGCAATGCTAAAAAAGGAAATGTAGTGACGCCTATGCTACCGGATTGGGTTCGAGAGAAATGGGGTGACTTACCCGCCAACGACGCAAGCGGAGTTGCGCGGGCTCTTCTGCTGCCCGCACTTCGGCCCGACTTGAACGGGAAGACACTTTGGGTAGCAGGAAATGATGTTATTGAGATTGAAGATGCTCTTCATGATGCTCAGCCACAATGGCTTGGTAGTCAGTTATCTGCGAACGTCGATGAGGGCCAGAGGCGGATGGGCATATCCCCTGGATGACCTGGATACTCGTAAAGGGGGTCTGCTAGGAGGTGAATCATCAAGAAACAAGCAAGCATTTAAAAAATGATCCTGATTCATGCATAAGCAAACCCAAACTACCTAGGGACGGCGGTGATCTTGGGCTCGCTTCGATCCCATCTAAAGGATGCGGTACCTTCCTACGGTTTACCGCACTCTATTACCCCTCTTGTAATCCAGAACTTTCGTAATTTTAGGCAGTTATCTTATGAGTGCTCCCTAGGTATAATTAGTGATACTCTTTGAGGCGGCGAGCCTGGCCTCTGAAGTTCCAGCCGGCCCCATAATTCTCGGGTGCCCAGACCACTCCCGGCACCGTCTCCCACCTGATGAAGTCGATTATATAGCAGTGGACAAATGTATTACATACCGCACATCTCGGTTATTGTCGGCTGGTGTAACCGCGTGCCTTGCCTGCCTCTGGTGGTTGCATCTAGTATCGCCTACTACTCATAATGATTGTTCACCTTCAAGCCCTTGAACTCCAATGACGTCGCCTTCCGCTGGTCTATTGAAGTTATCTACTCTCCGCTAGTGTTGAAGGACGTGGTGATATTTCAGTTCTTTCTTCCCTACGTTGATGCTTCCCAAAATATGGTTGTGGGGTAGAGTCCAGGGTATAATTAGGCATATGTAGACCCCACCTCACCAAGTCGTCGACACTGGTGTCCGAGAAAGAATTACACTAGCAAGTTACCTCTCCCCCACTCTACGTATAGAAGACACAGGTGAGGTAATATATTGATTCATCCACCCGACGTAAAGCCCTGCGTTGTCCGAGACCCTTCACCACATTTATCGAGCACCAAGCTCGACGACTGTGTTGCCCTAGACATTACCAAACACCATGTCGAACACCGCCCTCACTGTCGTGGCCAGAGATCCCGCACCGGGTTACTATGTCACTCACCCGAATGGCCAGAACTCATTCTACCACCTTGATAGCTTTGTGGACCCCTGGCTGCCCGACTCGCAGAAAGAAGTAGTGCTCATTCAGCACGGATGCGCACACACGAGCGAATTCTTCTATCACTTCGTTCCCCGACTCAGCCGAGACTATATTGTCATTCGCCGCGATGCCCGCGGTCATGGACGATCATCGTACCCCAAGCGGATCTCGCCATGGAGCGACACGGAGAACAACATCTACGAAGGGGGTTACGACTACACCCCGGCCACCATCGTCAACGAAATCGTCGACTTCCTCGACCAGCTGAAGATCCAGCGCGTGCATTTCCTGGCCGAGGCGACATCCGGCGAGATCGGCACCATCCTGGCTGCTACGCACCCTGCCCGCGTGGCATCGCTGGTGACCATGTCATCGCCAACTATGCTGCCTCCCGCGGCGATTGATCTCTTTCGCGTGGGCAAAGCTTCCTGGGCGGAGGCCGTCATGGAGTTGGGGGCCCGCGGGTGGGGCGAAGAGATGGCCAAACGGCCCGGCACTCTCCCGGTTCACAGAGGCAAAGAGTACATTCGGTGGTGGTATGAGCAGGCTGATAGGATCCCTAGGGAGGGGTTGGCTGGTTATGTGATATTCCTGTCCAAGCTGACCTCACGGCCCTACCTCCAGGGAGTGAAGTGCCCAATGCTGATCCTAGCTCCCACGAACAGCGCTGCTGTGCCCATGGAGGAGTCACTGTATGTGCAGTCACAGGTGCCCCATGCGAAGCTGGTGCCAATCGACGGCCCAGGGCATGAGATCTACTCAGAGCGAGCAGAGGAGTGTCTAGACGCCATCTGTGCATTCTACAAAGAGATTCGAAGTTAGTAAGCCTGGGCCTGTAATTAGTATTAATAGAACTCGTCTTCGTCAAGGCCATTGTCATGACATAATGAGAGGGGCTTACGGGACGCACAGAGATTTACCAGTGTTTCCTAGTGTTTGCCTGTGTTTTGCATATACCATCGCCCATTTTGCCATTTCTCCGAAGGTAATCTACCAGTACAACGCACGATTCTCAATCATATTGACAACAGGGCAAGAACTGATTCGTCCTAAGCCTAAACATGGACTCTTATTAGCTAATGGAATCTACCAAGTACATGAGAGGTGGGGAATTAGAACGTCTGGCAGTACCAAGATGCTGGCTTGCTTCTTGGACGCCACAGTGGCCCAAACCGTGCAAGTTTACTGGCTATCTTACCCCACATGAAGTGCTACCTACTCGTACTCCACATTTACCGTGCATCACCCCACACGAGTGGGGGGTTGGTGCTAAGTTACCCCGGATTCTCTTGCGGGGAAGCCGGCCAACGGTGAAACATCTGCCGACAAGCCGCTCTGTGTGGGCTTGATCAAGACCGCTATCGGGCCTCTGGAAGTCTGTGCGGGCTTTGTGAATAAGCATCCGGCGACGGGGCCCTGGAGCAGCTGATATTCTCGACCTAGCCTGCTATCGAGATCGGCCCTCACCTGCAAGTAGGTAAACTAGTACATATTCCTGCCAAAGCAGGATGGCGTACAGACGAGTATCCTATCCTCGCCAATATCATCCTAAAGCAGTGTAAGGAAGAGATCCTTTGGCATCTTGGCAATGTGGAGGCTAGTTATACAGGGACTAGGTCTAACCTCTACAGCTCTCCCTCCATCTGCCTAATGTATATAAAAGTCTGCGTCTTGTATCACCATGATTTGCAAAACCTGGGAAACAACCCCTTACATATCTGCTCAAATCTATTGATCATGCGTTCTAGCCGGCTCCCTCTCCTCCTTGGAGCTCAATACTTCTCGGCAGTGGCTAATGGCCTTGCTAATAATCCCATCGCGGAGCCATGTTCCCCTTCCACGCCGAATGTGGTCTGTATCAATCACTACAGCTCTGTGATGCCATTCCATTTTGTTCGAAACGCTACCGACGACTACAGCGCCACAGAGGTCCCCAATGACCCAAGCTTTGCCCAAGTCGCAGGAGCCGATTTTCTTGTCTTTGACAGAGAACGAGGTCTAAAGCTTCTCGGTCCCAGCCCCAGCAACAAGTACATGTTCACTGTACCCGGGGCTCACGAGGCCCCTGTTTACCTGGCGAGCCATGACGTCCTGCTATTCTCACAACTTGGCCCTCCTGATCCGGACTACTTGCCTCAGATCATGGTCAATCTAAGCCAGACCCCGCCCACTTGGTCGGAATTCCTGTCCGATCCACCCGTGTATGCAGTCAACGGCGGTGCGGTACACAATGGCTTGCTTCACTGGGTCACCGGTGGTGGGCATTCCATCAATGGCACCGAATACAGGCCTGGGATATTTGCCGTCAACTTTACGACCGGGAAATCGCAGCCTTTGCTGAACAACTATTTCGGGCAGTACTTCAGCGGTCTAAACGACGTCGCCATAGATCCAAAGGGAGATATCTGGTTCACGGATACCTGTAAGTTTCATGCGCGAACACTGTCAGGACACCATGTCGTTCGGGGATGCTGCAAATCAAATCCAACGCACGGCTTGCTGACGGACTTACAGATTACGGGTGGTTTAATGGAATCAACGACCAAGCACCCCAGTTCCAAACCGCCGTCTGGCGATTCCGGCCCTCAACCGGCGCCGTCAACATGGTGGACGATACGGTCGACCAGCCCAACGGAATCGCCTTCTCACCTGACTTCAAAACGCTCTACATCGCGGATAGCGGGGCTGCGGGCGGTACATATCAGCAATACATCGGGCCGCAAGGTCCCGTCTACAACATGACTGGCAAACACAATGTCTATGCGTACGACGTTGCTTGCAGCGGCAACTCGCTCAGAAATAAACGCGTTGTCTACCAGACGCCAACCTTCTTCCCCGACGGTATCAAGATAGCAAGGAATGGCTACATTGTCACTGCTGCGGGCACTGGTTTGGACATCCTGGACCAAGATGGCACGCTGCTGGTTAGGGCGCAGGCAAACTATACAGTATTGAATTTTGCGTGGACTGGTCAGAATTTCGACACGATATGGATGCTTGGTGTTGAAGGGGTTAGCGAGCTTAGGTTGAACCTTCCGGGTCCGGAAGTACGCTAAGCGTCCAAGTGTAACTAATAGCCGCCGTCTCTTCCCTGACACCCCGTGCTCACGGATCGGATCTGGCCTAGATGCCAAGGAGACTCCTCTTGTAGGCCCACTAGTTGCGGGCCACAAACCCCGCCCGCCCCTCCCCCGCCCCAGAAAATGCCGGTGCAAGCATGAATCAATAACCGAGGGGGCTCACATTAGATTCCCGTCGTCGTTACGATTTGCTTTTATCTCCTCCCTCGAGGCTCATTGTTGGTGTAAAGAAGGAAAAAAAAAAATGAATAGCCACTCAGAATCCATGTGGGGTGTCGCACGGGCCGCGGTTCAGCATCTCAGGCCAAATACGGTCCTAGTCTTCGCCTCTCTACTTGTCTTCCCGGTGCTTCTTCTGGTGCGTTTCATCTATCCCAGCCGAGCGAAAGCATCAAACACACGGTTGCTGCCGGGGCCGAAAGGTTAGTTCGTCCAGCGGGTAGCCCACCATTTGGAAACGACGAGTGGATCTTGATCCATCCCTGTGGTTTACCCTGTCTCCTCTTCTGACGAGTCCAGCATGCAGGTTACCCATTGATTGGCAACCTTCCTTTGATCCCAAAAGAACAATCATGGCTGCAATTCAAAGAGTGGGCGGACCAGTACGGTCCAATATATCGATTAAGCCTTGGAAGCCGGCAGCATGTGGTCGTATCAACAGAAAAGGTCGCCAATGACCTCCTGCGAGAGCGGGGAAATTATTACTCGTCGAGAGAGCAAACGCCCATGGCTGCAGAGCTGCTATCAGACAACCTTCGACCTCTGCTTCTGCCATACAATGGTGAGTCGGCGTCTCTCTTCCCCTGCCGCCCCCCTTTTTTCCTTCACTGCGCCTTGCCAACGGAAACTGAAGAAAGTGTCACGGCAGATCGTTGGCGGCGTGGCCGGAAATTCATGCATCAGCTCACCATGCCTGCTGTGGCTGCTTCCTACGAGCCTGCCCAGCTGCTGGAGTCGACGCGCGCCGTCTACAACTTGCTACGAGACCCCGCATCGTACCAGCAGGTCTTCGAGCAGTACTCGGCGGGGCTGATCTTCCGTATCGGCTACGGCAAGCGACTAGTGACGGGGAGAGAAGACGCACTGCTCCGCATCATGCAAGTCAACCGCAACCTGGAACGCATCGCCTCCCCGGGCTCCTACCTCGTCGACACTATCCCGGCGCTGAAGCACCTCCCCACATGGCTCGCGCCGTTCAAGGCAGAGGCTGCCCGCCTCCACGACGAGGAGCTCTCCCTGTTCCGCGAGCTGGTCGATGAGGTCCGGCAGAATGTGCGCGAGGGAACGGCCCCGATGTGCTTTGCGAGCCAGCTCGTGCAGCAGCAGGAAAAGTTCCAGCTCAGCGACGATGAGGGCGCCTACGTGGTGGGGACGCTGTTCGAGGCTGGCAGCGGTACCACAGCGGCGGCCATGATGAGCTTCTGCCTCGCCATGACCCTGCACCCGGAGTGGCAAGCCCTCGTGTGGGAGGAGGTCGACCGCGTGTGCGGGGACCGCCTGCCCGATTTTGAGGACATTCCCCGGCTGCCTGCCGCGCGCGCCGTCATCAAGGAGGTGATGCGGTGGCGCCCAGTCACAGCCGGAGGGGTGCCGCACCTGCTGACCCGCGACGACGTCTACGAGGGATACTTCGTTCCCGGAGGCTCCGTCGTCCACGCCAACCAGTGGGCGATCCACCGCGAGAGCGCCCTGTATCCCGAGCCCGACCGCTACAACCCACGACGGTGGCTGTCGCCCGAGTATCCCACATACCGCGAGCCGCTGTCCAAGTTCCCCAACCTCCAGAACTATTCCTCCTTCGGCTTTGGTCGCCGGATCTGTCCGGGCATGAGTATCGCCGAACGCTCGCTCCACATCTTGACTGCGAGGATACTGTGGGCGGGCAAGTTCGCGAAGAAGAAAGACGCCGCTGGGAGGGAGATCGACGTGCCGGATTATGACTACGTGAGCGGGTTTAATACGCAACCAAAGCCGTTCCCGTTCGAACTGGAACCAAGAGACCCCAGGAGAATGGCTATTTTGGAGGAGGCATGGAGAAAGGCCCAAGAGGAGGATCCGTTGACGACATGATGGCACGGGGCTATCTTGACATGATTACCATGGGAAGAATGACACCTCAATCTGTGGAGCTTGAGCACACGGAGTAGCAGCCATGGAAGGTGACTGGCACGTGAAATTACGATCGTAGCATCTCTACAAAGTACCCGAGATATGATTAATCACGTTATCTCATTTTCCGTGTCAGAAGCTATGTACCGATGACGAACTTTCATCTCGTTCCTTAATATTTGACTTTTGTAGCCGCCAAACAATCCCTCTCAATCAAGTTGGCATGAGCCTGGCTTCTGACTTTGATCTTGACTTCGAATGGTGCCTTCCCCTTCGCCAACTGGGGGATCGTCATAGTGTCAATTTTATGCGCCTGTCATGGGAGAGCAAGAATTAGCATTGGCCCGGCCGGATCAAGGAGGCTGGAAGAGTTCAGGAATAAGGGGAGGGAACATACCGGGTCTTCCTCAAAATCAAAGCAGTACAGAAGTCTTGCAATGGCGATCCACACATTCATTTCGCCAACACTCCACCCGACGCACACTCTCCTTCCAGGTCCAAAGCCGTAATGACCCTTCAGGGCGTTGTTTAGATCGTCGTTGAGGAACCTCTCGGGCCAGAAGCGCTCAGCCTGGGGATATTCCTTCTCGCTCAACGCAATGGCCCACGCATTCCACGTAAACACAGTGCCGGCAGGGAACTTGTAGCCTTCATACTCATCATCCTGGATCAAGGCTGTCGGAGCTCCAATCTCGGCAATGTTCGGCCGCCACCTGAAGCCTTCCTTGACCACCGCAGTGATATAGGGCAAGGCATCCTTATCCTCCCAGCCAGGCAGGCGTTCGGCATTGGCTCCGCACACCTCGTCGAGCTGCTTGCGTGCTCTCACGACCCAGTCGGGGTAAGTGGCTGCCGCAGCAATGATCTGGCCCAGCGACACCTTCGACGTATCGCTGCCAGCTTCCATGAGAGAACCGAGGACAAAGAGCTTCTGGTTCTCGTCGAAGTCCGACTTCTTGACCTGCTCCAAGAACTCGGTCGCGAAGCACTCCCTCTGCGTGCCTTCCCTCTGCCTCTTCTCCAGCTTCTCAACCTCACGCTTGTAGACACCGTGCGTCCACTTCCAGATCCTATCACCCTTGGCCCGCCACCACTGCAGAGGTTTCGGCAGCTTCGCCAGCCATGGAAATCCGTCTGCGATATTCACGCCCGGCTGCTGCTGGAGTAGAAAGGCCTCGGCGGTGGAAAACAGTTCCTTCAGATCAGGATCGTCGAGGTCGGAGCGGCGGCCAAACACGACGCTCATGATGATGGAATTCGCGTACCGACCGTTGGCAACGTACCACTTATCCGGCTGGTGCAAGTACTCGTACAGCAGCTGTCTGCTTTCCAGCTCCTGGAACGGCTTGTACAGTTCCTTTTGCCGGGAGTTGAGGATGCCGTGCATGATCTTGCGTAGATCGCGCCAGCGCTGGTCGTAGCCCATTAGGACGATGCGCGCGCCCCGCGACATGATGTCCTGGGTCACAGGGAAGGGCGGGCGAGAGCAATAGAGGCCGGATCGCCTTTCCATTAGGTCGTGGACGACGCGGGAGGAGTTGAGGAAGACCCAGGTTGTGGTGCCGAAGTCACAGGTGAACCTGGCAGGAGGGTTTGTTGATTAGTATACAGTTTTAGACTTGACAAGTTCAGGCGCTTTTTGCGCAGAGAAAAGGGGGGGGGGTGGGTTTGGAGAGGTTACATTTCACCGTGTTCCTCGGCAAGCTTCTTGGCCCAGGGACCTTGTTGTACCGGAGGAACTTGGAACATGTGTCCGAATAGAGGAACGCCACCTTTGATTCTTGGAGGGAGTTTGTATTTGCGCATGCGTAGGTGGTTCGCCAGGAGCAATTGGACAAGGTACAGAACAAAGGCGCTGACGAGCGCGAGGATATACTGGTAGGGCTCCATGTTTGGTGGTGTATAGCTACTCGGTGAAGCCAAAGTAGAAAATCAAGGCCACTACTCCTTCTCCGCGTTCTCTGGGGGTACGAGACAGTTATATTTGGAAGACAAGAGATGGGAGAGATTGCCCCATTTGCATGGAAAATAATATTGCTGACCTGTAATGTGGGGAAGCCAGCTGCTGAAAACCCCCATTCCCTCCCCAATTCACAACCCCACCTGGAATTCCCTAGGCCAGCTCCAATTTTTACCAACGGAACTGCCACTGTTAGGTTTCCTTGGAGAAAATAATTCCTGGCACTCTGCAGGAGTCTAGCCGTGCTGCGTGATCAGAAATCGCCAAAGGGTCTGCCGCCCGAAAGCTCTGGGGACGGTTCCCTTACGTGTTCCTTAAGCATGGGGGGAGGCCAAGCGCCAAAGTTGCTACCCCTCACCCCTCCTTCTTCCCCCACAAACGTACTGTAATTATTCCGTACATGTACAGTACGTAGCGTGAAGGGGAGGTCTCGAACGCCCACGCACATACAAGTTCGCGAGACGGGCCGTCAGTACAAGCACCACCATGAGGTCATCATCGCTGGCGCTAGTCCAAATTACAGATAGGGGTGGAAAATGGTACTCATGCTCCTCCTACCTCGTCGGCGCAGATGGGGCTGGCGGTAGCTTGCGCAGATCACAGTGCATATTCTTCGACAGATTCACACGGCATGGTATTACGCAGGACCTGGTGAATATGTGGGTTAAGATGGGATAGTTGAGTAATGGGGAGGTGGAGAGGTGGCGAGGAGGGAGTGAAGGAGATTCTGCTGTATGGGGGTTTGAGGCAGTCATGCTATTTGCGGGCGGAGAGGATGGGAAGGTTGGTGTAGAGACCAGTGTGGCTGGGGGTGAGGAAGACGTTGGTCGAGGCAGTGTGTCATCATGCTGGGTTGTTAGAGAAGGGGGCGGGGCGTGAGAGCAAGCTGATGCACAATGGGCATTAAAATGGACAGGGAGACTACGGAGAAAGACGTGGTCTTTTCCAGTTGCAGTATGTTACGACTTGCCAAAGTATGCTTTCTCAAAACCAAGACCAGCCTCAGACCTTCCTCCTCACAACCTTGGCCCTAAACCCTTTCTGCTTGACAAACCAAGTGTTATGAGTCTCCCACTCCTTATTCGGCCGCTCGAGCTCGAAATCGAAATTCCGCAGTAGCTGCGGGATGAACTTGTTCATTTCCATCAATGATATATTCTTTCCAATACACGTGCGGGAGCCCATGCCAAACTGTCATGCAAGTTAGTCTTTTCCTTACTGTCCCCTATTATCACCAGAGATGGAAGGGGGGAGGGAGTGTGTCAACGTACAGCCATGAAATACCTCTCCATATTTGCCGACTTCTCCTCACTCTCCAACCACCGCTCCGGCCGGAACTTATCCGCATCCTCCCCAAAGACGGAGGTATTGGCATGGGCGACCCATGAGTTGACCCCCACAATTGTCCCTTCCGGGAAGTACCTCCCGCAAAGACTCGCCCCACCCTTCGGAACCACTCTCCCCAACGGCAAGCCCGTCGCCGGATGACACCGCAGGGCCTCCTTCAGCACCGCCTGCAGATACGGCATCCGCTGCGCCTCGGCAAACGTTACTGGATCGCTGATCTCGCCCCTCTTCGCCATGCTGTCGATCTCATCCCGTAGCCTCTTCATCGCATGGGGGTACTTGAGCAAATGATACACGACGCTGCTTAGACTAATCGCTGTCGTATCGCTGCCCGCGCCAATGTTCGTCATGCAGCTGCCAAACAACGAGGCCAGAGGCATCTTATCCGGATTCTCCTCGTGCAGCCGCAACAGCCGCGTCATGAAATCGACACGGTCGCCATCGAGTTTCTTCTCCTGCAGGATGCGCTCCTCGAGTTGCTTCTGCGTGAACTCGGCAAGGTAGGCCAGGTTCTGGCGGCCCTTGGCCTTGCGGCCGCCCGTCGACCACAACAACATCGCCTTTTGGATGTACGGGTGCAACTCGCTGTAGACACCGACGTTGGCGGCATACCAGAGGTATTTGTCGATGCTGGCCATGAAGCCGCCGACGTCCTCGCCCTTCTCCATGAATCCAAGCGCCTTGCCCACCGTGATTTCCGTGATCACGTCGAAGGCGTAGCATTGCATCCAGAGCGGCACGTCGATCACCTCGCCCGTGGCTGCGAATTCGCTGAAGCGGCGGTGCAAGGTGGCGGAGCAGTCGTCCACGAAGGGCTCGTACTGCAGCAGCGACGTCATCGAGTAGGCCGATGCGACTTTGCGCCTGCTTTCGGCATGGGCTTTGGGCGAGCGTTGTGAGAAGAGGTCGGCTTGTGCGGGGTCGGGGGGTCCAGAGGCATAATACCATGGCGATTTCACGAACTGGTTTCCGTGGCCATAGATGACTCTGAGGGCGGCCGGGTCGTCGATGCTGTATTCATTGGGCGCGATGCGGACGATGGGGCCTGGGCAAAAAATGGTCAACTCGTCTGCAGAAAGAGGAGGCGCAAGAGGGGTAATAATTATTGACCATATTTTCGATGGAGGGCAATATCTGTCTTTTCAAAGTGGCCCTTGAGAACCTCCACCAGCTTCCAGATGCGGGAGAACTTCGCAGCGAACGGCCCTGGGATACCTCGTAGAGGGGTGACGAAAGCACGGTACAGAGAACGGATTACAAGACATGCAAGGACAACAGAGACGAGAGCAGCAACACGGCTGGAAGCCACCTTCTCGAGTGCGCAGTGCTTGATAGAATCCATGGTGATGATATGTAGCAGATATGTAGCATACAAGACTTGTCACAGAAACACACGACAGAAATGTCGGTAACAACAAGGATCGCAGAATATAATTATACGGTAATTAGTTACTCCATTGTGGTGAAGTTGAGCCAAGATGCCATCCCGGCGGCGAAAGAGGAGGCCGGCCGCCGACAGCCGCGACCCCGCCACGGCCTCAGGCTTTCCAAATCGCAGGCGAAAGAGAAAGCAGACGACCGTACCTACTGTGCGAGGCCATATACGGATATTCTTTCCCTGCTTACGGCGCCACAGAGCACTACCCCACACAGCACAACCCCACACAACACAACCCCACACAACCCCACACAGCCCACGTTCACGTTGTAGGCGAGGGAAGTCCTTCCCAGTGTGCCCTCTTCTGCCTGCGGATGGCATCGTGGTACTCCTTTGCTGCACATTCTGCTTGCCTCTTGCGCTCTTAGTTGGTTTGGCCTGTCCTGTGTTGTGCTCTTGCCTGGTTTTGCCAATAATTCGTGTAGCTTTTGCGGAGTCGTGTAAGGTCCATCGTGCACCATAAGGTGCTGCTTTGGCCTTTGTTGTTACGTTTGGGACTGCCTCTGATACTGCAGCCTTTAGTCAGTCTCTCTGTTCCTGGACGCTTCTGTCCTGGGGCACATGCTCTAGATTCGATGCTAATATCTGGGCCCTGATCACATTGCTATCCCTGGCACATTTTCTAAAGAGGAGTCTTGCCTTGACTCGCTGATCTATCGTTGTCATGTCAAACGTTGTTTTGATTGCCTCGTGCTAAGTGTTTGTCTAGGAGTCTCTTGGCCTCGCTGCTCTTGGTGAGGTATGCCACCTAGAACCGTAGGCTTTGCCGGAGTCCTTTCTGCTGAGCCACGCGACCTTGGTGATATTGACCTCGTTTTCTGCGCCGAGTGTCTCCGCTGCTCTGGGCAGGAGATTACTGTCTGCATTCAAGACGGCGGTTCGGTTGGCGTTGTCTATCCTCTAGGCAGCAACCTCGACCCGCTGCACGTTGGCTCTGTCTCTGAAGATGACTATGACTTGGTCCGGGTTCCGCGCTTTCTCCATGGAGCATTGTCTTTCCTGCATCCGGGGAGCTTCTGCCTCTAGCACTCTAGTTGCGCGTCCCCCTTTCGCTACCATTCCACGAGAACCTTCTCTTGGGATTCTTTTTGTCCTGATATTACTACCTTCAAAAGATTGCAGGGTTACCTGAACTTTGGCGCCGGGCACCGCAGTCCAACTCGACCGGTTTGGCGACGCGGCGTGCAACGGGTGCTTCGCGCAGGTGCGGGTGTGCGGGAAAACGGAGAGAGGTCGCGTGGCAGCTGTGCTTGTAAGCCGTATAGATTAAGGTAGGATAACAAAATTCATCCATTTCTCAAAGTTTATCATATCCGTCGCTGTATTTCCCGGTTAACCTCGTCCAAAGGGGAGGACTATGGCAAAAGATTTACCTGATTGGGCAGAAAATATCCGGCCATGGAACTCCCTTTCTACAGCTTCTTGGCTCAGATCCGTATTGGAGCGGCAGAATTAACCCCCGCTGTGACGGTCCGGCTGAGTGTTAGCACGGCGGAAACCGCTCCGAATATGCATCCCATCTTCCGTAGCATAACTGTGCTCGATTTCTCCTTACACGGGGGTGCTCTCATGATACTCTCCTAGTAAAACGAATATCGAGACAAAGATGCAGTTCCAGACTCTGCAGCTTCTGGCGGCCCTTGCTGTGGCTAGCCTGGCAGCTCCATCGGGTTCCACAGAGACACTCGTCAACAAGCGACTCGAAAACGGCGTGGGCCGCACACCTGCTCTAGGGTGGAATAGCTGGGTAAGTATTATAAGGGAGAGAAAGAAAAAAAAAAAAAAGAACCAATGAATAAGTCACTGAATCTCCCTTCCAGAATGTCGGAGGATGCTCCACAGCCGCCGCCTCCAACGCCATGGCGGCCGCGAACGCCTTTGTGAGCCTGGGCCTGAAGGACGTAGGCTACACGTACGTCAACATCGACGACTGCTGGTCGACGAAGAGCCGCAACGGCTCGGGGCACCTGGTCCCGGACCCGGCGAAGTGGCCCGAGGGCATCGCGGCCGTGGCCACGCGCATCCACGCGCTGGGCCTGAAGTTCGGCCTGTACGGCGACGCCGGCACCCAAACGTGCGCGGGCTACCCGGGGTCGCAGGGCAATGAGGTCCGGGACGCGCAGACGCTGGCGTCCTGGGGCGTCGACTACTGGAAGTATGACAACTGCAACACGCCCTCGAGCGGCAACAGCAGCGCGTGGTATATCAAGATGCGGGATGCGCTGGCCGACTCGGGGCGGCCCATCTTTTTTTCCATGTGCAACTGGGGCAGAGACGACGTATGGACGTGGGGGAAGAACGTGGGCAACTCGTGGAGAATGTCGAGCGACATCACGAACCAGTGGAGCTCGGTGGCCTCCATTGCCGCGTCGGCGGTGCCGATGGCCAAGTACGCCGGGCCGGGAGGTTTCAACGACCTGGACATGATGGTGAATATTATTTCATGGGACTAGGGGCCGATACAGGCGCTAACGGTATCTCGCAAGGAAATCGGCAACGGCGGTCTGACCGAGAACGAAGAGCGTGCCCACATGGGACTTTGGGCCTTGGCCAAGTCCCCGATAATTCTGGGAACGGACCTGACAAAGATCAAGAGCTCGTCTCTTGCCATCATAAAAAATACGGTGAGTTGAGCCTGACCTGGCCCCGAATGACTATAAGGCTGTGGACTAGTGTAGTGCCATCGCAACTGACGCGTCCAAGGGCATCCTCGGGATCAGCCAGGACCCCCTGGGCAAGGCTGCGATGCCTTTCCAGCCCGCCGGTACAGCAGCTCCCAACTCTCGGCAGCTACCCTCTTATTGGGCCGGACCGCTCAGCGATGGTGTTGTTGTTGGGCTGGTCGCGGTAAATGGCGCGGCGACCCTATCAGTCAACTTTGCAGATGTTCCCGGGTTGGGCGCTGGGTCATGGGCATGGACCGAGGTGTACAGCGGAACTTCGGGAACCGGCACCTCGGTCTCAGCAAAGCTGGGTTCTCATGACATGGCGGTGTACAAGGTTACAGCGGCTAGCTAGTGCGTCGTCTATGACAAGACGAATGCAGATCTAGTAACAGCAGATACAGACAGCGCCCGGAAAGACAGGTGAGGACGATGGGCATCAATAACGGGAGCCGAGGTGGCTGGCAATAAAAAACCCTGCCTCCTTGTATAATGCTCTATTTCGACGGTTGACCTCTCTCTCGGGCAAACAACACATGCCACGCAAACTCATCACTCGGAAACCGGCTTCTTCGCGTATACAAACAGTCTCACCCCAAACCATAAAATCATCAACAGAAAAACGCACGTCTTCCTGGGGAGTTGGTGGGGGGAAGAAGAGTGGGGGGGGAGGGGATCAGCCTGCCAGTCCATCACCCAGCATCGCATCTACTAGCTGACAGTGCCGGTCCGCATTTGTCTCGCTCATTTCATCATCATAATTGAGCCCATAGGGCCAGATGTGCCCGCCTCCACAGTTTATCTTCGCATCGGCGCCGTCCCATGACTGCAGGAGCTTCGTCGCCGAAGGCCAGTTGTTCGCGGCGCATCTCGTGTCGAAGGCTTGTGTCTGGCCAATGCCGAGCGTGTGGGAGATCTCGTGGAGCGCGGTCCGCTCGTTCATGTACGACCGGGTCGAGCCGAATCGGATGTTGCCGTTGAAGTTCCCATCCGCGGTGGCCACGCTGGGCACGTACTGGACTGTGATGGACTTGTTTGGACGGACGGCTAACTTCGTGTATCGCGCCACGGCCAAACCCATGGCGGCTTCTATGCGAGTATAGGCGTCGGCTTGGTCGGATGTGGGATTTGAGTTCCTCTGCAACTGCCAGGTAATGGCTGCAGAGGCGTGGGAGGTGTACACCCAGATGAGAGCCAGAAGATGGAAATGCATGATGATAATTAGGTCAAAGATTCGAGTAAAGGAAGACAGAGGGTAGATCACACAGAGAAGGCATGCCCATAATGCTGAACTCACCGTAGACTATTCACTACGACATAAATACCTACATATATTATGAGGCTACTCCCGAAGTTTATAATTACCAGCCGAATCTGTATTTATCCAGCAGTATTAATTAATTAGATGAAATCTTAGATCCGTGGAGATTCATTTTGACAACTCAAATGGTTTTAAGCAAATCACCCCGAACTCCTGCGGGGAACCCTGTCGAATGGAACCCCCCGAACGAGAACAAATCAGTAGAACATAGATCAAAATGGACCTGCCATTTGGTGACGGCACGCTGAAGAGCTAGGTTCCCTTACTGGTGAAAGCCATGATCAGTGGCGCCCGAGTACCAGCCCAAGGCCCCGCCTCCTTTTCCGCCAAGGGAGAGGGGCGTCTTGTGCTGCAAGTGGTCTGCCACGTTGCTTTAAGTTAACGCTTGATTTGTTGAGGTCTACAATGGAGATCCCTACGCAGGATTCCTGGAGCCGGGACATGACGAAGGGGACGGTGGAATGACAAGGAGCTCGACCAGGGACTTGAGAGCCTCAAGTCGGCTACGGAGCGGCCGCAGTAGTTCGTGTCGTGACGATGAGTGGCCTCTCTGCCTCAGTGAGTGTTATGGCCAAGGCTCGAGGCCGGCTTGTGACAGGCCAATGGGCTCCACTGCCAAGTTTCTCTCGTGGGTTTTAAGACCTTGCACTTAGATTCTGGGTACGTAGTATCCGCCTCGAACGTCTCTCTGTTTCCAATGAGATATACTGACCCTTGCGGCTCCGCCGTGGCAAACCGCAATGGCCCTGAGATTGATCTGTGTGGCGTTATGTGGAGACCGGATCTCGTGGTCATAGTCAGCGCCGAGTGAAGCCGTTAAGAGGGAACATGGGTCTCATATCAGCTCTTCCTAGTCTTGTATCTCACGGGAACTCGATTGTCGAAGTCACTCAGAATCCGTCAGCTCAGCAGAGTAAGTCATCCATCTACCCAGCCATCCGTCCATCCATAATATGACAATGATGACTCTATCTAGTATTTCATGCTCTCTAGAATCCTGGCATCACTCTCTTGCCATGGGAACTCAATCGACCGGATCAACTTCTCGTGGTGAGGAGACCGCGGTTCGATCACAGCGTTGAAGGGCTCTGGGTGGCTGACGACACCTGGCGTAAACTGGATCTTCCGTTCAACCCCTTGGCCATCCTCCATGTTCTTGCTGATGTTGAATACCGCCAAGGACTGCGCAATGTTGAGATACAAGGCGTTGTCGACCAGAATGCGCCCTGGGCAAATGCGACGTCCAAAGCCAAACACGAACGTGTGTGGATCCGGGGCTGGCTCGTGGCTTTCGGCTGCCAAGAATCGCTCAGGGTTAAATGACATGGGTTCTTCATAGACATCCGGGTCATGCGTGAAGTGCCTATGGTGACGTCTACGGTTAGATGGACTTCTGTACTCCTTGAACATTGCGACGTTGGCTATTTCCCGGCGTAATTACTTACCAGACGTTTGCTAACAGCATGGATCCCTTCGGAATAAGATACCCTTCACAGATATCATCGGCAGTGCTTGTATGGGGAAGTCCCATTGGCGCCACGGGATGCCAGCGGAGAACCTCCTTCACCATGGCCTCGATGTATGGTAAATTCTGACGATCCGAAGCGGTAGGCAGTCGATCGTGGCCGACAACTCGATCAATCTCTTGTTGTGCCGTTCGCTGAATATCCGGGAACTCTGTCATTGCTAAGAAGAAGCATGCAAGTGCTGACACAGTCTAAGAGAAGTCAGGATATCATTCTAATCGGGAACAAAGTCAAAAAGCAAAGACACTCACCGTATCAGCTCCTGCGGTGTACAAAGACATGGCTGACCATTTGTTGGTGAACCTCTCTTCGAGGCTCGAGTCACCCGCCTCTAGCAACCGTGAGAGAAACGACGAGTCGTCTTTGCCCTGGGCCATCTGATGCTTGACGAAAGCATACGGCTTCTCTGTTACATCGGTGAGCTCCGCTCCCCATTGTCGGGCGATTCTCTTGAACCCAGTTCCAGGGATCCAATCAGGGAGGTATTTCACTGATAATTATCACTGGTCAGATTATGTCCACCCAACATCGTGAAGGTGTGCTCGTGATTAGAATATGAGCACTCACAGAACGGCATCATATCGACCATGAAGGCACCAGGAACACCAGCACGCGCAAACTTATCCATAGCGTCGCCAGCCATGTCGATAAGAACATCATTCTTGAACGGTTCTGCCGTGTAGCCATACGCGATCTTCAATATGACCGCGCCCGCCTCCCTAGAAAAGCGGGTAAGTCAGTCATACAAACGATAATTACTGCTAATTACTCTCAAGACAACGAAACCGACTTTCTGATGTGATCGACGAGGCCATCCGGGTTGTCCAGGACGTGTAGTAAGAAGTGGCCAACTTCAGCCTCTTGCAGCATATTGTACTGCGCCGCCGCCGGTTTGGAGCCGATGATGCGGCTCATGTTCTTGCGGTAAGTCCGGAAGCGATCATTGTATTGAGATAGTCCAAGGGAATTCTCCCAGCCCAGCCTATGGTATTACTGTCAGCCCATGTCATAAGGATATTAATACGATTTCCAAGTTGCAATTGGAGGTCACGTCAGCAATTGTGAATTTCTAACTTGCATTTCACCTGCGAAGATCTGCCTCGGTCTCGATGAATGTTTCACCGACCGCTTCTCCAACAGCTCAAATGCGATTCGAGCGTCGTTGATAATCACCAGGGTTTGTCCCATCACCGTTACGGAGCTAATCGGACCTGTTGGCACCAAGTATTAATTAATACCATGCCTTAGCAAGAATGGCCCCTCGGTGCGCGAATCGCATTTTATGTTGAACGAACCGTATAGCTCCTTGTGCTTCAGCCAGTGGTGTGCCTCGAGTACGCCTGGCTTGGGCAAATCGTTCAAATTTCCAACAAGAGGAAGGCCTTTGGGGCCCGGGGGCCGAGCAGGGCGCTTAGCACTCTTGGACGCGTTCAAGACGCCATTGATGACGAAAACGACAGCGAGGCCGAGGCCTAGGCTGGCAATAAGCGATGAGAAGCTCATCATGATCGCAATTGATAGCGGGATGCGGGGTAGATTCATGAGGCCGGTCGATTTATTCCATATTTCTGACCTGCTTGGTTCCCAAATTCCCGTGACAATTGATCTGCACCAATGCAACCTTCTTATCTCCTACTGTATTACATAGGAGTGCATGGTGTAGGTTATACAGAATGCTATTGGGCCAAAGCCGAAAAGTAAGCAAATACCTGACATGGAGTAAAAGCCTTGGTCCTCTCCCATGGCAGCAAATCAAAACGTTGATGAATTGTCATTGTGGAGGTCTGAAAACAACGACTCGAGAGTCAGCGCAACCACGCTGAGAAGACCACCACTGCCACCGCCTCCGCCACCGCCACCGCCACATAGGATCATTATAGCATCGAGCCTACTGTTTGTTTTTGGCTTCATCATATGCGATGCCTGTCTGCAAGTCCAAACTGATAATGCCCTACCCCAACAGGAGCTCGGGATGGTCATGAACTCGGGCTGCGCCTTCAGCTTATCTTCCCGTGCCTGACGCTTCAGTGCCGCCGGCCCGCCAAAGTATATCTCGGCTCCTCACCCCTTCGTCGCAGTAATATTCCCCGGGGCTGATATGGAAGGCATCATGACGCTAGTAGGCAGTCCCAGCTCCCTGCAGGCCAGCGCAACCTCCTGGGCGTGGTTCTCCCGATGAGTGCGTCACAATCCTGGCGGTTCGCGAATGTTCCTGGAACCGAGGCGAAGAAGGTCTTCCCTCTTCTTATATATAACGAAGGAACGCGTCAAAAGCCCCTCGTAGTGTGAACGCCCCGACTCGCTGTAGGTTCTCTCAATTGGGGAGAATTCTAACTCGCGGCTTTGCTGCCGGTTGGTGCTCCCATTCGCTGCCCTTCATTATCGCAGCCGCTTGGGGCGTGCTTGCGAGTTGGTCTATGTATCGGCTTCTCAGGACTGGAGTGTGATGGACGTTTCCTGCGATTCTTTGGGCTGCTTGTTGAACGGATCTGCGACCGAGTGGGGGACAAGTGCTTGGATCTACCATGATGCGAGTAGTAACCGAACGGATTGTTGACGTTTTTTTTTTCAACGATGAAGCAAGCCAGCAAAACCCGAGTTTGGGACGAAGCAAGAACACATGCATGAGAAAGACGGTGGATCCCGATAGAATCCGTCTTGAGGGAAGGCGGTGATAACACTAGATATGTGCTAGCATTAGCTCGTGGGGCATGCACTTACAGGAGCGGGTACCTTCTGAACGTGCTAAAATATGCAACCCCCTCGGGCACCCCCCGATCCCCCTTCTTCGCTCGTTCGTAATTCTTCGACCTCGCGATCTTTGAACGTCTGTCCCGAATTTGTTGATGATTAGTGCTCTTGTGCACAGAATCTCCATCAAGCTCATTCAGACAAAGAGCTTCTCCCGTGGGACAGCACAGCAGAGCCAGACGCTACCATGAAGTCCATGAAGTCTCAATCACAAACGGAATACGGCAGGCCGATGCTGCAACACTTCCTTTTCGATGCATCGTACCGCAATCTCAATCATAGTAATGCGTTCTTTGTACCAGATTACTCCTAGATGTCGAACCATGTTCTAACTTGCCCCCCCCCCCCCCCAAACGCAGGTTCCTTCGGAGCTCATCCACGAGAGATCCAGGCCAAGTTACGCAGCTACCAGGATCAGGTAGAGGCAATGCCAGATCCTTTCATTCGTTACAAGTACTCCCAGCTCGTGGATGAATCCAGACAGGCTATTTCCGAACTACTGCACGCGCCTGTCAACACGGTTGTGTTTGTTCCCAACGCAACCAGCGGCCTCAACATCGTCCTCCGGAATATGCAGTGGAATAAGGACGGGATGGACGAAATTCTCTATTTCAGCACAATCTACGGCGCTTGCGGCAAGACTGTGGACTATATTGTCGACTCTTCTTATGGTCTTGTGTCGAGTCGCCCAATCCATCTTCCATATCCGTGCGAAGACGACGACATTGTGGCTTGCTTCAAGGACGCCGTCCACACTAGCAAACGCGATGGGAAGCGACCTACGCTATGCATCTACGATACAGTATCCTCGCTACCGGGGGTTCGCTTCCCGTTCGAAGCTATGACTAGGACTTGCAGAGAGCTCGGCGTGATCTCCGTCATTGATGGAGCCCAAGGAGTCGGAATGATCGATATTAACCTCGCCGATCTCGACCCTGATTACTTCTTCAGCAATTGTCACAAGTGGCTATACGTTCCACGCGGCTGCGCAGTTTTCTACGTACCGCTTCGCAACCAGCACCTCATGATGTCGACGCTCCCAACATCGCATGGCTACGTGTCAAAAGCAGCGACCCGGTCTAATTCTATGCTGACAGATGGCAAAAGCACGTTCGTGAGCAACTTTGAGTACACGGGTACCATTGATAACTCGCCTTACCTCTGTGTAAAGGACAGCATCAGGTGGAGGAGGGAGATCCTCGGAGGCGAGGAGAAAGTCTTTGAATATCTGGTCATGCTGGCGAAAGAGGGCGGGCAAAGAGTTGCCGGCATTCTGGGAACTGAGGTTCTGGACAATGCCACGCGGACTGCCACGAACTGTGCCATGGTGAACGTCAGGCTTCCTCTTGCGATTCAACACAACGCTAACCAGAGCGAGGAGGGCTCCCACACCGGCCAGGCAGACGGTCCAGCTAAAGGAGTGGTTCAATCCAAGGACGTCGAGAGAGTCTCGGACTGGATGATGAAGACTCTCGTGGACAAGTACAGAACTTTCATAGTCGTCTACGTTCACGGGCAACATTTGTGGACGAGGCTCAGCGCGCAAGTATATTTGGATACCAACGACTTTGAGTGGGCCGGGAGAATATTGCTTGAGCTTTGCGAGAAGGCGGCGAGGAGGGAATATGAGTCCGGGCCTGAGATAGACATTGCTAGTTGAGGGGCATACATGAAGCAGAATGAATGGGCTACGAGATGTGACGGAACTTGGTTCTTGAGAATCGCATATGATCATGTCCTTGCCCTAGGAACCCAGGGATATTACAACTCCTGCCGGATTGGGGATGACCTCGGATCTCACCAACATTCTCAGGGACAACTTAGGCACTTTTGGCACTGGACCTACCTCGTCTTCTCGAGCCTAGGGATTAATTATCCGTCGGGCAGTGTAAAGTGAGCTTTCCCGCAGGGCTTTTCCGAAAGTCTTAGTCGAGAGACCACGGGGGTTTTTGCCCGTCGGTAATTAATTTCAACTTTCGGCCATGGAAGATGGACTAGGAAGGGCACTAGAAAGAGATCGCCATAGTAGTGGCAGATTAACCCAGGACCTGAACCAAGGGTTGGATCAAGGAAGGCTGGACTTGCACGTCCCATGTGGGTCGTCTGAACTGGGATGCTGCGTCCTCTAGCTCTAGAGTGAAGCTACTGCTAATACTCTCTCCGAATGCCACGCTACGCTTTCTCGTTCAACCGCTCTTATGCCAAGCTGGCTGGCTGGGTGTTAAACCCGGAGGCAAAGACCAACTCCGACGGTAACTACACGTATGACCAGCCAGGGCCCGGGTGCGAGCCATGAACGAGGGGGACATAAGTGGAGTTAGTCTTTTTCCCTAGGCATGCTAAAGCCCCGTTAGAACCGCGGCTAGTTCCACTAGGGCCACTCTCGGCAGGCAAACCATCATCGTGCCTTGGTACTTGGCGACCACTTCGTGATGGGATAAGGTAGCACCCATCAGCTAGTCGGAAGGTTCGCAGGACGGAGCAGTGTCGATGGTTTGCAGGACGGAGCAGTGTCGATGGTTTGCAGGCCCGGTTTGTAAGAGCGTAGGAGTATCTGGCGAACAGGTAGCGATTCGGGCTCATGATGTAGTTGATTAGCTAAATCTAGCACCACCACTCATAACCAAAGGGCGAGATTTTAGATTAACCTTCGAAGTCACGCAGGGCTCTTGGAAAGAGTCGGTCGAACTTAGAATGGCAGTCTAGGCTCCAACAGCCGAGGGGACACTATCGCCTCCAGGTTACACGGACCATTTGCATGATAGTTTCTTCTATTCTTCTACTTTACGGCAATTTACATCGAGGTTCCAAATATTTGCTTAGGGCAAGTTAATCCCGACGGAAATGATGCTTTCAAAACAGAGATCCTGGGCAATCCTTGAGGGAGCTAAGGTGCCAAGAGAGTGGATCAAATGGAAACAATTGTGCGATGTGGGGAGTGTCAGAGAAAGAAAGGGTTGATGAACAGTTCCCCGCAAACTAATCCCCATGGGGAAAAGAAAGAAGAACAAGCAAAAAAACAGAGAAGCAGAACGGACACTGCTCCTGGAGCAAGGGGATCTCACCGAAGTAAAGTATCATAAGTATGAGCTTTCTGCCCTTCCTCGCGCGTTTCGAAACTTCGCACGGCTTGCCGGTGTCTGATTCTCCAGTTCCCACCTCACCGCCCGTCCCCCCCAAATATCCTCCGTCACTTTTCATCACCACTCGATCTTCTGTACACCAACAAAGCCTGAACCGTCACCGAGATTGACGACACCATGAAACCCACGGAGTCAAAGCTGGAGCGGGCAGCGGCCGAGTTGGAGACCGCCGGCAGCCCTGAGAAGGAGCTCCACGATGCCGCCGTGACCGGGAAGATGGACGCTATCAACGAGCAGATGGCCCTGGACGGCACACTCGCCGAGCGCGAGCTCACCACGTGGAAGGCGCTGGTCAAGCACCGCAAGGCCGCGGCCTGGTCGATGCTCGTGTCCATGTCCATCATCATGCGCGCCTACGACATTGAGATTACCGGCAATTTCTTCGCCCTCCCCGCCTTCCGGGAACATTTCGGCAGCGAGGTCCCCGGCCACGGACACCAGATCCCGACCGAGTGGCAGGTGGCCATGTCCATGGGCCCCATCGTCGGCCAGGTCGTCGGTGCCTGGGCCGTCGCCGTGCCGATGGACCGCTTTGGCCGGAAGAAGACGTTAGCTGCGTACTTGCTCGTGACCACTGCTCTGGTGTTCATGCAGGTCTTCGCGCCCAACAGAACGGTCCTAACCGTGTCCATGTATCTCAGCGGACTGATCTGGGGAGGCTACCACGTGCTGGCCCCGACGTACGCGTCCGAAGTCCTCCCAATGCGCCTCCGCGGGTGGTTTACCGGCTACGTCAGCCTGTGCTATGTCATCGGCCAGTTCCTGCAGACCGGCATCACCCGCGGTCTTGTCAATTGGAAATCCATCTGGGCGTATAAGATCCCTTACGCGATTCAGTGGGTGTGGCCCGCCGTCATCCTCTTGGGACTCTACTGGGCTCCCGAATCGCCCTGGTGGCTGATCCGACAAAATCGCATGGAAGATGCCAAGAAGGCACTCGACGGGCTATCCAACAAGAAGTCGCATCCCGAGAACGCCAACATCCTCGCCATGATGGTCAGAACAGATCAGTACGAGCGGGAGCTGGAGCTTGGCGCAACATACAAGGATGTGTTCAGGCGTTCTAATCTGCGCCGCCTCGAGATCTGCGCCATGACCTTCGTCGTCCAGAATTTCTCGGGGAACTCTCCTGGGTTCGCCACGTACCTATTCGAACAAGTCGGGTTGAGCACGGAGAACGCGTTCAACATGGGCATCGGGTTGAACGGCGTCGGCTTCATCGGTGTCGTCGCCAGCGGCTTCACGGTCCAGTGGCTGGGGCGCCGACGGAGCTGGATGATCGGCATCTTGTACTGCCTCCCCGTGCTGTGGGTCGTGGGATTTCTGTGTCTGGCCCCAGACTACAAGGTTAACCCAGCGTACTCCTGGGCGCAGGCCACGCTGCTCATCACCATGCAACTCGTCTACTCCCTCACGCTCAGCCCCCTTGCCTTTATCATCTCGTCCGAGACTCCTTCCACAAGGTTACGTGCCAAGACGCTCTCGCTCACTGCCACCATTAACGGTGCAACCTACCTCGTCATTACAGTTGCTGGGCCATATTTCCTGAATCCCGGCGCCACCAATGCGGGGGCCAAGATCGAGTTCTTGTGGGGCGGACTTACCCTGTTAAACACCATCTGGAGCTATTATAGACTTCCTGAGGTATGTATGGCGACGATGTTTATTCGTTTGGCGTCTGGGTTTTTTTTCTTTTTCTTCTTTTGACCCCTCCCCCCTTTCTTTCTAGCTTCCTTGCTTCCTTGCCTTTGCAGTGATGGACGCTAATTTGCCCTTCTACGCAGACTGGTGACAGAACATACGAAGAACTGGATATCCTCTTTGCACGCGGCGTGCCTGCGAGGGAATTTAAGGACTATGTAATTACGGATGAGGATCGTGCAGAAGCCAAAAACTGAGGTACCACATCGTTGCCGATGCCTCAGGAGAAGGAAAGGGTTAAGAGGATGGAAGACGCGATGGATGGCCACCGAACGCCTTCAAAGCAGGTTCTCATGTTCAAATCAGGTCGGAAGAATGGTTCGTGTATGGCCTTAGGAGAGTGATGTAGGTAGTTTTCTTTCGTTTTATGTTAAACTGCGGTTCCCATCGAGTGCAACAGCGCCATTTTCAACCACTCGTTGGTTCTTGTTGTGTTTCTTCGGTTCCGGGACAGGTTCCCGTCCCGTGTCCCTCTCAATCTGCATGATCTGTAGAGTGATGTTTAAGCGTTTCCAAGAACGATCAAGACAGTCTAGATTCAGCCTAGCCTAAGCCCACGACTCGGACAACTTCGTCGGAGATCCTGGCACAAGTTCCACGCTGACCACACCCTTGCCAGATACCAGACGCTCAGGGGCGATGCGGAAGATTCTAGTCTGAGGTATCTTGGACGAGACGATAACCTCCAGCAGTTTTCCATCCTTCCAACTTAGCAACTCAACATCGACACCCCCCCGTGCCCTCAGTCCCTTTATGCTTCCCTCCTCTTCCCAGCACGGCAACAAGCACGGAAGCAAGTCGATGTAATCCCCGTCGTGGCTCTGCAGCAGCATCTCGGACACAGCAGCCGTGAACCCGAAGTTCCCGTCGATCTGGAACGGCGGGTGATTCGCCAACAGGCTATCCAGCACCGCTTCGCTGCACATCTTCTGCACCCCCTCCTGCGCCGCCTGCGCATCGCCCAACCGCGCATACAGACACAAGATCCACGCCAAGCTCCAGCCCGTATGGCCGCCCCCACCCGACAGCCTGCGCTCGAGCGTCCGCGTCGCGGCGGCATGCAGCTCGGGGCCGCGGATGCTCTTGCCGGGGAAGAGGCCCCACAGGTGCGAGATGTGGCGGTGGCCGATCTCGACCTCGTCGACGTCGTCCTTCCACTCCATGATCTGTCCGTGCTTGCCGACCTGCGGCCGCGGCAACCTGGCGAGCACGGCCTCGAACTCGGCAGTCGGCAGCCCGAGCACCGTGCTCGCCTCGACGCAGGCGGAGAAGAGCTCCGTCAGGATCTGGGCGTCCCAGGCCGGGCCGGCACAGATGGAGCCCACTCTGTCCGGGCTCCCGGGGATGTGGTACGAGTTCTCGGCCGACGAGCTGGGCGAGGTGATGAGCTTGCCGTCGCGCTCGATGAGGAAGTCTTGGAAGAAGAGGGCCGAGCCCTGCATGATTGGGAAGATGCGGCGGAGGAAGTCAACGTCCCGGCCGAAGAGGTAGTGCTCCCAAAGGTGTGTGCAGAACCACGCTCCGGCGAGGTTCCAGTACGTGGCGCAGATATTCGAGTCCTGCGGTGCTGTGTCGGCCCACAGGTCGGTGTTGTGATGGACCACCCACCCGCGGCATCCGTACATGTCTCGGGCCGTCTTAGCCCCTCTCTCGGCAAGCTGTTCGAGCAACTCGAACAAGGCATTGTGGCACTCGGGGAGGTTGGTGACTTCGGCAGGCCAGTAGTTCATTTGGATGTTGATGTTGATGGTGTACTTGGAACCCCATACTGGCATGAAGTCGCCGTTCCAGATACCCTGCAGGTTCGCAGGGAGACCGGAGAGTGAGGAACTGATGAGCAGGTACCGGCCATAATGGAAGAGCAGCGCCGTCATGCCGTTATCGATAGCCCCCTCCTGGACCTTGGCCCGTCTCTGATCGGTTGGGGTCTCCATCTGGCTTCGACTCCCCGGAAGCTTGAGTTCGACTCGCTCATATAGATGTGAGAAGCGCTTGACATGCGCAGACAGCAGGTCAGACCACGATTTGGTCGCCGCAGCATCAAGCCTAGCCTTCACTGCTTGGGCAGCGTCTTGATTTCGGAAGGTCGTCTCGCCAGAAACCAGGACGATGACCCTTCCCCGGGCAACGACTTCGATAGTAGAGCCATTGCTATCAACTGTGCCCGCTCCCCCCTCGATGATCACTCGCACTCCCATGGCAAACGCAACGGCACCTTTACCGCCGGCTTGGCCACAGAGCAAGTGCCCGCCTTCGATCGACTCGAGCGAATCAAAGGTTTTGTTGATCCGCCGATCCCACTCGGGGTGGTCGCCACGATTGAGCGAGATACAGAACTTGATCTCGTTATCGGAAGAGATGCTGGCACAAACAACCTCGTCGGTCGTACTAGAGAACACCTGTCGCGAGTATCGGGCACCTTCATACGAATACCCAACACTCGCCACGCCGGTGCGTAGATCAAGCTCGCGACGGTACCCCTGGGGCCCCTTGCTCGCGTTTCCAGTGAACTGGTTCTCGAAGGCGGCGATGCCGCTGGTGCGGCAGTAATTCCCTGGGGGATCAGTGCCGTGACCGAAGGTCAGAAACACGTCGCCCATGGGCTCGTAGTGCCGCAGGGACTCGGGCATGCCGGTGAAGGTCCGGGTGATCATGTGTTCGGCCTCGGCGATTCGGTTCTGATCGATGAGCTCGCGGATTTTGGGAAGGCTGGCCAGCGCTGCAGGGTTGTCGCGCTTTTGAGGCCCACCGTACCAGACTGAGTCTTCGTTGATCCATAGGCGCTCGACGTTGGTGGTGCCGCGCACCATGGCACCCAGCCTGCCGTTTCCGATGGGCAGGGCATCCTCCCATAGGTTGGCGGGCTTGTCGTAGAAGAGGATATGTTCCGCCATATTCAATGTGGCTCAGGGGAAAGTTGTCAAAAAGAAAAAAAAAAAAGAAAAGGGTCCAAGTAGTTATGCTACCAAGTGCTGTTGGCAGGGTTAGGCCTAAAGATCAATCCGCATGCAAATGGGACAGGCTTGATGCGCCTGACCTCACGCCTATCAAGCCGACAACGTGGTGGGATTATCACGTTTGATGATCTCTGCTCGCTACAGTGAACTAGGCTTCGTGAGAGCATGGACAAGTGGGGAATCTTGGAGTATCCGCAAAGTGGCTCACGAAGATGAGGGGAAAATAGCCGACGCTTAATTTCTACACCATCCCACCAGCTTACCACAATAGTTTGGAGTTAGAAGAGTCACACCAAAGCTTCTCTAATCGAACCTGACGATTTAACTATCGATGCAGATCCTGTTTTCGCATTAACTAGCACAAAACAGCCATGGTGGTCATTCAGCATTGTCCATCCACAAGTGCATCAAGAACCACGAGAACCCTGGCGACTTGGTCCCACTCATCTCGAGCGGCTCTGTCCAAAGGAGCTGTGGCGATAATATGATTCACAGCAGCTACAATGAAGATGATGTCTTGTCTTTGTTCTCTCTCCTCGCCCGCACACCTCGACCAGGCTTAGAGCAAACTCAAGTCACGACTAGGCTCATCCAGTCGTGGGTCAAATACAATCGAAGCATCGTGTAGAGAGAAATGGCTCTAGCCCCATGGCGCCAAGGAGTGCTTACATACTCTCGCCAAGTGCCTTGAGTACCTCTAGATCCCGCTTCACCCAAGCTGCGTCGTGGGCGAATCTCCTGGAATCCATGTCAGGTTGGCGGAACAGCGCGAGCCTGACCTCGCTCCTGCTTCCATTCGCAATGATCCTCAGAGGCACGTAGACGATACGACCTTCCCCCAAATCAACCCAGTGGTCCATCACGCCCACGGTGTTGTGCTCTGTAAATGTGATTCGGATTGGTCCCTTCGTGCCCTGTCCTTTCCAACCCTGTTCATCTTGTTGAAGTGAGGCTCTGGCAAGACCAGAAGCCCATTTGGGGAAGCTTTTGGGCTCCCAAAGCATCTCATACAGCTCCTGTGCGTTTCGCTGTACGAAACAGGTGAATACCTGAATTTCCATCCTAGAATTGTTTCGTCGGCTAAGGCTATCGCTGAAGTGTGCGGATGATAATTAGTCTTCGAAAACAGGGAGGAGGTGCGGCTGTCAATTTGTAGCGGATTTTACTAACGATGAAAGTTGTGGTTGTGGCTAATTCCTGGTCTCACTCAACACGCAAAGGTAGAATGTTGGTTTTGCCCGAATTCCAGTTCCTGCCGTGACCCTCCTGTTGCTCCTTGTTGGAGAGAAGAAGGAGAACAGTTCCTGTCCACTGTCTCAACTCTCCTACATCCTTGTCGGCAGCTTCACCATTGGCCATCGCCTGCATTTTTAAGCGCACAACGAGGCGGTGTGGGAGTCTAATCCAGGGACGCCCATTGAATACAGAGTAGGGTGTCTGACAATACGAGCAATACGAGACTTGGCAAAGGATGTCTACTTGCTGTGACACAACCAAATCGCGAGACTGGAGACATTGAAAAAAAAGGGGGAGGGGTGGGAGCATGACTGCGACCCAACTCGCAGAGAATCGAGTGAGAAGGGTATTTGGACCGAAATGAACATAATAATAATAGCAACTATCACAAGAAAAGACCGATTCTCAACGACAGCAGCTGGTTACAGGTTAATGGCTAACCAGTTCCCCTAGCACCCCCTAGCCACCGCCAATTCGGTCTCCAGTGCATCTGCCATCTCGCCCAAGGTGTCAAATCTCCAGTCGTAGATCTCGCCGTCCCGATCGCCCATCACTGCTCCAGGGCGTACAATCCAGCACGATTTGATTCCCATCGCACCGGCCGGGTGGTGGTCGTGGAATTGGCTTTGCGCAGTCTGGAGAATGTGATGCTTGTCTGCTCCGAACTTGTCCTTCACCTGCGCGATCATGTACTCGAAATTCCGGGGGTCTGGTTTGTAGGAGCCGACATCCTGAGCCGTGATGACCATGTCGAACGTAAACCCCTGGAGAGGGCCGGCGTTGGTTACCGCGAAGGACTCGCGGTCCACGTTCGACAGAACAACCAGCTTGTAATGCTTGGAGAGCCGACGGAGTGCTTCGACGGTATCTGGGAATGCGGGCCATTGGCCGACCGAAGCCCCAAACGCCACAGATTCGTCCGCCGTGGGCTCGGCAAATCCAAATCTGGCAGCGGTGAGAGGGTGGATTGCCGTGAGCACTTCTGAGTATCGCATGCCAGGGGTTTTCGCTTGCTGTTCACGCTCCAGCTCGTGGATTCCCTCCAGAAGTTGCTGACGGGAGTGGGAAGAAGTTGCGTCATTGGCTTCTAGGAGGGGCTGTAGAGCAGCTAACATGCCGCGTTCCCAGTCGATCAGAGTGCCGTAGACGTCAAACGACAGAACCTGGAAATCCGACAAGTTTGCCATTGTATTCTTATTCGGTGACGATGCCGCACTGGTCTTTGCTGCTGTCTTGGATGGTGGGATTTGTACGAACTGTACGCTGGCTGGCTCGAGATGCGGCGGCCCCCGCCTTTTCTGCGCTGACAGGCTTCTTCACCCACTACCTCCCTGATTAAACAAGAGATCGGCGAGGGGCGGATCACGAGGCCGCGCCTTACCCTCTGCAGCCGCCAAAGCATCGGAGGGATGTTTCGGCGGATTGCTAGGCAGAGTCTCTTTTGTCGCTCCTCAGACGCGCGCGCCTACTAGAAGCATTCTGCTCCCTGTCATTGTGCTGAGTTGTGCATCATTTGAAACGGGGGTACGACGATGCAGTGATTCGTTGGCTGTTGGTTTTGGAAGCGACACGGCTATTTTTAGTTATCAATGAAGGTTGTGCATCATTTGAAACGGGGGTACGACGATGCAGTGGTTCGTTGGCTGTTGGTTTTGGAAGCGACACGGCTATTTTTAGTTATCAATTAAGACCGGAACCAACAATCAACACAACCCCGCGCACACAGGCTTCCCGGAGTCCCCCTTTTTTCTTCCCCCCACATTGGACGGAACAAGAGTTAGCAGACGCGTCGTGGTTCATGGTTGGGATTTTTACTATCTACAACTACCTACAACGCCCTGGCACGTAAGAAACTGCATCGGAGACCTAATTACTCGGTGACTCGCCATTTGGAACATGGCAACTAGCTCGAAAGCTCTGAACCATTCGAAGTATGAACTGGTACGTGCTTTCTTCCGGAAGAAACCGAGTACCCACTCCAGCTGACGGGAATTGTTCGAGGAGTAGGGCGATCTGCTGAGAGATATTGGGAGGTTTCTCGAGGATCAAAAAGCGGCTGGCCCGGCTACGGGATTAGTTGATTTGAGTCCTTCGTCAACACATCCCGCATCAACGTACGACTCGGTGTCGACTCTGACAGAATTTCCCATCGGACCCATGGACCGGCCAAGTGAGGCGCCAGCAGATCTTCGAGCCGACTACCGTTCTATATCCACTCAGACCGACTTGGAAGTAGCGGAGCATCCGCCACTTGTTGACCGAACCGTTCGGACGCCTCAGGCGTCGTTGCAGACAACCCTTGAACGCCCAATCTTCGAGTTTTCTTTTTCAATGGGGCCGTCAATACAGTTCTGTTCCTCCGAAGACTCCATCTCCAAAATGCCGCTCGATTCCCATTGCTTTAGCGACACCGGGGCTACGAAGGTCAGGGGAAAGTTGCCAAGTCCCAGCTCCCTCGATGAGCCTCATGTTATTCGGAGAGCGGACATAATCAAGGTTCCGTGGAAGGAAAAAATCATTGTTGTCAGGCTTCCTCCCCTCTCGTGGAATGAATTCATGGCTCAAGAATCACGGGGCCCTGAAAAGTTAGGGCTGGCTTCGGTTGCCACGGGGCTTTATGATACTGTCGCTGATGACGAGACAACGGCGGCAGATAAGAGTGGCGTAGTGGCCACATCCCAATTATCTTCGCGCGAGGCGGGTGAGGCGTGGACTTTTGAAGCGAGGACACAAGGTGTCTCTGCCGTGGAGAAAGCCTCTGGTTTCCGTGTCTTTGATCCCACGTTCTACGAAGGAGCCTGGTTTGACTTTAGCGCCAAGCAATAACTCATTTCATGTACGGTTTGGTGGTGAGAAGGAATGGGAGAATGATGGACAACTCTGCAAAGGTGCAGGTCATGTGGAGTTTCTATGCAGAGCCTTTGGTGATTATCATATAGCAGATGGGAACTGCCTCACTTGCGTCATTACAGCAGGACTAAAATTATCCGTATGACAATGAATTCATGGCGTGATGCAACCAGCAATGGGATAAATCCACCTACGTCAAGGGCCATCAGCTTGATCCGAAGCATATGTTCTGGCTGAGCTCTCTTGCTGTCCGCGTTGGGGTGGCATCTGAGTTGCCACATTGATCAGGCGCTATTTGTGTGATCGCCATCTAACCAAGTTACAAACGATTCCCCGACCAAATACGAATAGCCAAACCGCTTTATCCTAAAACTTGCAGCCATGCTATATAAATGATGATTGGTGTCTACCTTGTCTCCCTTGCATAGCCGCGACATGTATTAACAGAACCAGCCAATTAACATCTGCAATCGCTATCTTGACGAGATAGAGTTACACACAAACTGACATACATAGCAAGCCGTGCGGCGAGATTACCGCATGTCTTACAATGAAGGTTAAATTTTTGATGCAACCTCTCATACCCGGTAATTACTAATAACGTGCTCAGCAGTGGTGATTGCGACAGCTAATGTCCAATCCTCCATGACCCCCGCATCTCTCCCGCTCTGTCTTGCCAAGTTCTGCCAAGCTTTACTAACACACGCACCAGCATAAAAACATGGCTGCCGAAATACAGCCTACCTTCTCACAGTACACTCATACAGGGGAGGATGATGAGATTGAGGCGAAGGAGAAGGACAACTTCAAGATAGACGTGTCGGACATTGAGGCCGACGTGTCCGGCAGCGACGACGAGAGCAAAGCAATCTTGCAAAAGGCTGAGAAGACAGAGTTAACACCAGATGAAGCATTCAAGTGCGATGTTCATGGTGACCAGTCTCCTTGTGAGTAATGCTAGACTGGTCTTTAATCCCGCCACCGAGGGTCTAATCCGGCTTTCCAGTTCCCGAGGTCGCCGCATGTGTGCCCAACACGGACGATCCAGACACCCTCTGCAACAGTGAGGTCGCCGTCTGTCTTCCGGATTTGTTTCGGTAGTAACTGATGCATGGCCAGCCGTCCGCGCTTGGATTCTCACCACCATCTTTGTGACGCTGTTTTCTGGAGTTAACCAGTTCTTCTCCATGCGCTACGTGGGTTCACTTCCCAATACCGACGCTCAGTCGTCTAGACAGCGCTGACGCGACGCACGATAGCCGTCGCTCTCGATTGGATATGTTGTTGCACAGCTTCTTGTCTTCCCCATTGGCCGAGCATGGGAAAAACTTCCTCGGTGGCGTGTGCCTCTGGGCCGCTTCACCTTCGACATCAACCCGGGGCAATTTACAATGAAAGAGCATGCGTTGATTGTGATAGTAAGTTCTAGTCAAGTCCCGCATTCACTGGTGCCGCAGCGTACTTACTCTATTACACCTTGTTTGACTCGTTAACGAACAAAACCAGTGTGTCAACATCAGCGCCGGCTCCGCATATGCCGCCGGTTCTGTGGTAGCCATCATCAGCCCCGTGTACTGGAACCGTGACTACGGGGCGGGGTTCTGCTTCATTTACCTCTTAACCACGCAGATGATGGGGTTAGTTGGCCCCTCCTCGGCGGGAGAGCAGACTTTGCGCATAGTAACTATTATTCTGACATGCGTGTTCAGATTCGGACTTGCTGGCCTTTCCCGTCGATGGCTTGTCTACCCGGCCGCACTAATCTGGCCGTCGTCCCTGTCTTCCACGGTCTTGTTCCGGGCCCTGCACGAACCGCAGGACAGCTCGCCTGCCAACGGCTGGATGCTCACCCGGTACCGCTTCTTCGGATACTTTTCCCTCTTCGCTTTTGTCTTGTTCTGGTTCCCAGATTACATCTGGACAAGCCTTGGCACCTTTGCGTTTGTTACGTGGATTTTCCCTCACAACCAGAAGGTCAACACCATCTTCGGGGTAAGTAGCATTAATTAATTACATGTCAGAGACGTCGTGGATGGCCCTGATTCAAGCTTGTGTTGTGTAGATGAACTCTGGGCTCGGACTTCTGCCACTCAGCATCGACTGGACGCAAATCACCTACGCGAATTCGGCCGGGTCTCCTCTCACGACGCCCTTCTACATAACCTGCAACGCTTTTGCTGTGGTCGTGCTGTTCTACCTCTTCCTATCGCCAATATTGTATTACACCAACGTCTGGTACAGCGGCTTGTAAGTCATTATCCTTCATTATCTTTTTTTCTATGCTTCGGCTAGACTTGACATAATACTGACTATGGAGTTACACAAGCCTGCCCCTCCTCTCTTCCAGCACATATGACAATACCGGCAAGTCATACAACATCTCACGCGTGGTTGACGAGAACCTCGACTTTGTCCTCAGCAAGTACGAAGCTTACTCGCCCATGTACATCTCCATGTCCTACTCTCTCACATATGCGCTTTCCTTCGCCGCCGTGACTGCCGTTGTCTTCTACACATATCTATACAATGGTTCCGAGATATGGGCCAAGTTCAAGGACTCGCGTCACGGCGGCGAAGATATCCACAAGCGGCTGATGCGATCCTATCAAGAGGTGCCAGACTGGTGGTATGGTATTCTCACCGTCGTTGTTCTGGGCATGGGCATCCTGACCGTGAGATATTGGGACACTGGCCTGCCTGTCTGGGGATTTATTGTGGTGTGCTTCGGCCTGGGGGTTGTCCTGATTGTGCCCGAGGGCATCCTTGAAGGCACAACTAACCAGAGAATGTCTGTGATTTCTCACCAACTAATTGCCCCTCATATCTACGCATTGCGCTGACTATAAACACTACATTCGCAGCTTTCTCAACATCATCACCGAACTCATCGCTGGGTATGCGTGGCCTGGCAAACCCATCGCCAACATGATGGTCAAGTTTTATGGGTACAATTCAGTCAAGCATGGCATGGACTTTGCGCAAGACCTCAAGCTGGGTCAATATATGGTATTGTCATATTCGTCATATTCCCCCCTTTCTTTTCGCGAGCTTGCTAACTTTCCTTCCCAGAAAATCCCCCCTCGAGTCCTTTTTGTCGGTCAGGTTTATTCGTCAATCTTAGCGACCCTGACGCAGACTGGTGGTGAGCAATTTTCTCCCATCCCTCCCCTTCCTGCTTTTTCCGAGTAGTAACCCAGATCCTGATCCGCGGAACGCAGTCCTTAGATGGATGATGGGCCATATTCCGAAGCTCTGCGAACCATCCAACACGCAGCGCTTCACCTGTAACGGTGCCAAGGTGGTATACAACGCTTCTATCATATGGGGATCTATTGGCCCTCAGAGGATGTTCCAGTCAGGGCAGGTCTATAGCGGTATTATGTACTTCTTCATAATCGGGGTATGTTGAACTCTCACACCTCAGACAAACGGTCCCCGAGCTAACCTCAGCGTCTCCGGTCTAGCCGGTATTGACGATTTTAGTCTACATGATTTACCGAAGATATCCAAATAGTTGGGTGCGTTACATCAATGTCCCGGTCTTCTTAAACGCGGCTGGCAACATCCCTCCAGCGAATACAAGTACGTCTCCTAGTCGCTCCTCGTTCTCAGACCCGTCGAATTGATCTTTTGTACAGCGCAATACTCCCTTTGGTTCATTTTTGGATTCTTGTTCAACTACCTCATCCGGAAGCGAGCCTTTGACTGGTGGAAGAAATACAACTGTAAGTCTATCGTTTCCATAAGCGGTCACATTCAACTTTGGGCGCTAACTCGTTGCTTCTCGCAGATCTCCTCTCAGCGGCCATGGACACTGGGACTGCAGTTGCTACCGTGCTCATTTTCTTTTGCCTCAGCTACAATGGCGTCGTCTTTAGCTGGTGGGGGAACACTGTGGGAGCAAATACCGACGATGCGAAGTCGGTTCCGTGGCTGAAAGTCCCCAACGGTGGCCATTTTGGCAAGGGCCCAGGCGAGTTCTGATGCAATCGATCTACTCGACTGCCCATCCACTGGGGTAAACTTGGCTTATGATAACAATGGTCTGGGGTAGGGATGCTGAACGGCGTGATAGTAAACAAAGGAGTTAGGCCTGCTTGCAGTCAAGGTTTAGAATTGAGATATCAATCGGCGTCTGGTAGAGCTTTGAGGTCCCGTGATAGCCCTCACTCCTCTTAGTTAACAACCCTGATCTGGTGTCAAGTTTGGGAATGCCGACATCGGCGCGATTGTAGATATTTTATTTTATCGCACCATCGCGCGTAATTATCGCGTGGGGTGTCTGGGCTGTGGTTCTCTTTGGTTGTATTGCACATACATGACGTCGTCGCTACTTTTTTACCCCTCATCCTGAAGCTTCGTGGTGACACTGGCCAGGTATCCAACAAGTAAGCAGCAATGAGACTTCTTGTTCCAATGTCCCTGCTCGTCGCAGGTCTAGCAGAGGCATCACAATTCGTGCTCTCTTACGAACCGAAAACTGGAAACGTCGCTTATACGCTGCCGACACAGCGCACATTTCTGCTCAACGTCCCGGAAACCTATGCCCACGGGGAAGATTATCCTCTCGTGCTTTCTTTTCATGGTGGTCAGTTAGAAATCATGGTGTAACTTGGTCAGGGCGTATCTCGTTTCGAGTTAATACTAATGGCGACTGCATATCCAGCTGGCGGGCTCAGTGAGAAACAGCAGCGTATCACGGAGCTCTCCGATCCGTCCCTGCGCATAGCAGGGAAGCCTTTCTTGACAGCGTACGCCCAGGGAGTCAACAACACCGACTGGAACATGACGCACATCTGGAAAGGGGCTCCATACGAAAACACAACCGTGGATGATGTGGGCTTCCCCCCTATATCCCTCCATCCAGATCCTCAAGTTCTACACCAGTAAAGCATCCAAAACTAACCATCTGCAAGATTGCTTACGTCTACGACATGATCAACACCGTCTCATCGACCTACAGCATTGACCAGGCACGTATCTACGCGTGCGGCAAGTCCAACGGCGGAGGATTCACGGCGCTCCTGGCATGCCGGCCTGACACGTCTTCCATCATTGCCGCCTTCGCGCCCGTGTCCCCAGCGCTGTACCAGGGCACTTATGCTTTCTACAACTGCACTCCGTCCCGTCCGGCCCCGATCCTCCACGCGCACGGCGTAGAAGATAGGATCACCGAGTTTCTGGGTCGAAGTCCGCTAGACGGCTCATTCGGCCCCGAGCCAGACGTCCGCTTGTGGAGGAGGCAGTGGGCTGAGCGCAACGGGTGCAAGGGGCGATTCGCTGGCGAATGGCCTCAGCCCAGCGTGACGGAGGTACATCCCGGTGCCTGGCAGGAATCGTGGGACTGTCCGGGGGCGGAAGTGAGGGGCTTGACGGTTGAAGGGTTGGGCCACGCGTGGCCCTCGACATTGGGGTTGGACCTGACGGGCAGTCCGAACCAGACGGCAAACTTTAACTTCACGAGCCAGCACTTGGTCCATTTCTTTTCGCGGCATAAATTGCCGTGAAAATACCTCGGGAGGTAAGGTCATCGTTTTCACCTGGAACCTACACTTGATGCCATGACTTGATTGGAAAAGGTGGATGTGGGTAGAAATTATCCAGAACCACCAGAGTCAAGGTCGAATGCCCTGCTCTTGGCATCTGGAGCGAGTCTTTGGAATGAAGTGCTGTTGAGAACTACCTACTCACGTGCTACTGTAGGTTGGCCGAGGTTGTCGACCCCACTGCCCCACATTAGATCTGACTCCACCCCAAGCCTCGGTAATTAAGGCAAGCGCGTGACTGCTGGTATCGACAAATGATGCAATCAAGCATTAATTATGAGCCTCCTTGGGCTCACGATTGTTCCCAATTCACAACGACAATCACATCTAGTTGACTAGACTTCTAACTCGGTCATTTTAAAATGGCGCAGGAGCCCTTCCCCGTTGCTCTTGTTGTTGGAGCATCGCGTGGCATTGGACGGCAAGTCGCTCTAGATTTGGCCAAGAACAAATACAGAGGTATTGCATTCACGGGCAACCTACGGCATGTCGGATAAGCTAATAGCCCCCTTATCAGTTGTTGTGGCAGCTAAAAGCGTCAGCGATGCGTCTAAGCTCTCACCGTTCCCGCCTGATCCGAATTCTAACCAGTCAACCGTTAATACGGTTGAGCGCGAGATCCGGGAGGCTGGAGGGGATGCAAGGGCAGTCCGGGTCGATACAAGGGACTCTGATAGCATCAAGAATATGGTTGACACGACTATCAGCACCTACGGGCGTTTGGACGTGTTGATCTACAACTCAGGTGCTATCTGGTGGGCTTCAGTCGAGAACACTCCCATGAAACGTTTCAAGCTGCTCCAGCAGGTAAATCCGGAAGGGCTCTATGCCACCGTGCAGGCTACGCTGCCCCACTTCGAGAGCAACGGATGGAAAGGCCGAATTATCGTTGTCAGTCCTCCCATCTACTCTAGGTTCTTCAGGGGAAAGACAGCGTATGCGATGGGAAAAGTGGCCATGTCTGTCTTGACAAAGGGGCTTGCAATGGACTGGAAGAGGGAAGGAAAAAGCCAAATGGCTATTACTAGCATTTGGCCTGCCGTGGTACGTTCCTTTGGATTCAATTCTCATTACTGGCGCTCCATCCACTCTATTAACACAACCAGGCTATCCAATCGGCGGCGACACCTGATCATACCCTCTTGCCAGACCTGAGGAATCCGGTAATATTGTCCACCGATATTGATACGTGCCGACAATACTAATGCCCTAGACAGACTGTCTTCTCTGACGCTATTTTGGAGATGCTTCGGACACCCGCAGGAGAGATTAGCGGTCGCCTTGAGCTTGATGAGGACTTTCTTCGCGAAAGAGGTGTCTCCGACTTCTCAAAGTATAGCGTTGTTCCCGGCTCGACTCCTCGACGAATCATGCCTGCTAATCTCCCAACGTTGGCCGTTCCTGAGGAGGATGATGAAGGACAACGTCTTGATAGCAAGAAGCTGCGACTTTCCAAGATGTAGAGTAGGTAATAGCTAGTTCAACTGTTCCTGGGCTTCGGGTCCGCTCCAATAAGAGTCCGGAGGTGTATAATTCTAATTCAACGTCATCGACCCGCATTTCCCTTCCCGTAATTACATGATCCCCGTTCCTCCCGACTTGTTTCGAACCATTGGATTTCATCACAATATTTCACCTTTTGCCAACCGTAGTTCTCCACTTAACAGATTGCGAACTCCTAGCCACAACAACACATTCTAAGACGCGGCATTTTATCCAGTGATGCCTCCACTACAACCCCAACTGCGCGAGACTCAGGCTGTTGCCAACGCCAGACAGTCCGTGGAAACAAGGCAGCCAACGGGGCTTCAGCCAATGCGTACGATCCTCCCTTCGCTTCCTCCACTCTCTCATCCGACTCCCCAGGACATAAACATGGGCTAATAACTCGAAGAAATGTCTTCAAGCAAATCCGGGTGCGAATATCCCGTAACACGAGATGCGGACGTTGGATTGCGTGGTGGCCAGCGAAGCGAAGCATGTCCCGGGCGATTTTGCTTCATCATCCCATGCCCAATCCCTTGTAACACCTGCATTCTTTGAGCATACCCTACAGGGAAGATGTATCGACAACGTGGTCTTGGCATCTCGCGCTCAGTCGTGTCGAATTCGCAGAAGTATTGGCTCGTCCAGATTCTAGGCTTGGAAACGATCGACGAGGGTCATTCGTATGGGCTTATCCTTAAAGCCACAGAGGAAGAGACGAGGTTTCGAAGGGTGAGATATTTTTCGAAGAGATAAATACGTCAGATGGGGTAAGTAAGTGGCTAACACAATCCAATCGCCAAAGGACAACACTCATGTAGATACATGTATGTACATCTCTTTAGGGTTCAAGCTCGGAGAGTCAGTCGGTCATGTCCGAAATGACGCAAGACAACAGCAAAGTGGCGATCCTGCGACATGCAGAGAAGTATTATCTAGAGGGGGAATATATGCAGCCGGTATCCGAAACCAACTCTATCCGTCTACATGCATCGCGCCATTGATATTCTCTGCGGGGGATGCTCTCGTTCGAATTAGGCATCTGAAGTGCAGCTCTCTGTCGTGGGATGGAGCTCGCCATCGGTACAATACATGGCGCGTTGCCGGCAACGGCCGACGGTTCGGGGGCATATCATATCCGTATAAAAGCCGCGGAGGCATTCAGAGTCGCATACAAGGCGAAGATTGGATAAGCTGCAAACAGCACAAGTAATTAGGCCTCGGAATAAACCATCATGATGGCCCAGGCAAAATTGATCGGACAGACCTCGTCGAGTGAAGTTGACTCCACTACGGCAACAACAATAACAACGGCAACGCCAAAATTACCGGATCGTTACGCGGATGAGAGTTACAGGCTCTTTTCTCAAGTCCATGTTGACCCGCCTGGACCCGAGCAGGCCAGAAGAATTCGTAACAAGTGCATACGATGGATCCTACCATTCCTCTGTGCCGGCTATCATTTAATGTATGTTGACAAGCAGACTGTAAGTGCTGCCGATTATCGGGCATGTTATTCGCACCGTGATTATTACGGACTGGCTGATAACAGTGAATAGCTTGGAAGCTCAGCTATCCTCGGGATTTTTGAAGACGCCGGACTGAACTCGATCCAGTACAACTGGCTATCGTCCATCTTTTATCTTGGATACCTCGTGGCAGAATGGCCGCAGAATCTTGCGCTGCAGCACTTTCCAGTGGCGAGGTGGCTTGCCATAAATCTGGTTGTCTGGTAAGTTGACACCAATCTCCGCTGCCTTAGCTACCAAACATTCCAGTATTAACCACTTGGCCCCTTAGGGGATGCATCATCTTGCTGCATATACCGTGCAGTAACTTTGCGTCGCTCTTCGTTGTCCGCTTCCTTCTTGGCTTGGCAGAAGCCTGCATAGTCCCTGCATTTCTCTTGACCCTATCCATGTTCTTCACCTACGATGAGCAGGCTGTTCTGATGCCGTGCATGTGGGCGATCGGCAACTCCAGCCCCATTACATCAGGACTGCTCTCGTATGGCGTGCTATTTATCAAAACCGGCAGCTTTGCGCCCTGGAAGTGGTTCATGGGTATGTCTTGTTGTTGTGTGTGTGCGGGTGTCTGGGTGCTGCTGTGGCAAGGAACTGACATGACATGGCTTATTTAGTTATCACAGGAACTCTTACTGTCCTTTTCGGCATCCTTGTTTGGCTATTATTCCCAGATAGCCCCCTCTCAGCACACTTCCTCACACCCGAGGAGCGTGCTCGAGCCGTCCTTCGGACCGCGTCGAACCACTCGGGCATCGAACAGAAGCGCTTCAAGCGGTACCAATTCCTCGAAGCCATCAACGACCCCAAAACTTGGCTATTCTTCCTCCATGCCTGGTCGCAGGAGATGGCCAACGGCCTGACTAACCAATATTCGCTCATCATCCAGTCGTTTGGCTTCACAACTCTGCAGACCACCCTCCTCGGCTGCATCAATGGCGTGACGGCGCTTATATCTCTGGGCGGTACCGCCATTATTCTCGCCAAGACCCGCAACTGCCGTGCATGGTTGTCCGCCATATCATACGTCCCGCCGATAGTGTCCTGCATCCTCCTCATAACCCTCCCATGGAGTAACCGTTGGGGTTTGTTGACTGCCATCTGGATCCGCGCAACAGGTGGTATACCATACAGCGTCGTCATGGTCTGGGCAGCAAATTGCTCAGCCGGCCACACAAAGAAGACGGCTGTGATTGCCATGTATCACGTCGGGTACGGTCTGGGCAACATTCTCTCGCCACAGCTGTTCCAGCCGCAGTACAAGCCGCGGTATGTCGTTACGTGGTCCGTGATATTGGGCGTGGCATGCGTGCTCCCAATGGTCGTCGTACTCTATCTGAGGTGGTACTTGGTTAGGGAAAACAAGAGGCGGGACGCGTTGGCAGAACGGGGACTTGTCAGGGAGATCGGAATCGTCGAACACGTTGATGAGAACGGCGTGAGCACGGAAGAGGTGGTTGATGCTCGGCAGTTGGACCTGACGGATAAAGAAAATCTCGCCTTGTGGGTTATTCCAGGTCCATCACCGTTCTTCCAAGGAGACACTAACACCAAAGCAGCCGTTACGTTCTGTAGCTGTCTGGGGCTGGTTTGTTCCGGTTCGACGAACATCAATACGAACTCGTCTGTTCCAATTTTGTGTTCAGGCTCATTCCGGGGTTTACTTTTATTAACACTTGAGCCAAAGTGTCTCTTCTATGGAACCCCAGCCCCGAGTATTAGCATGCCCCGAAGTTGTGGTTAGTCTCGACGCTCCTGTCGGCGAATGGGCAAAGTGTGAGCGGCTAGTGGGATGAGCGATTGGCAGGCAGCAGTAATTGCGTGCTTTCTCCAAAGACACCGAGCCCCCGCATTTCCAACTCGTGTCAGTTGACAATGGTTCACCAAATACTTAAAACATGGTCCCCGCTCCCAAGCTCTTCCAGAATCCAACCAGGTTAGTTTCCTAACCGCAGCAACTTGACACCATGTCCCTGTCCATGTCAGGCCTAGCTGCTCATGGCGACTTCGCCGCGATCCCGGTCCTCGACCTCTCGCTCGCAGATGACGGTTCTACATTGCCAGGTTTCCTGCGTGACTTACGAACCTCGCTGACGCAGGTGGGATTCCTCTACATCTCCAACCATGGCGTGCCGCAATCGACCATTACCCAACTGACGGACATTCTTCCCCGGCTCTTTTCCCTTCCCAACGCGGCCAAGGAGGATATTGCCCTTGAAAACTCACCACACTTTCTCGGGTACAGCGGTGCAGGGTCCGAGACAACAGCCGGCGGCGTAGACTGGAGGGAGCAGGTTGAATTTGGGACTGAGCTGACAAAGATTTGGCAAGCTGGCTCTCCTCTATATGAGCGACTACGCGGCCCCAACCAGGTACGTCGGTTACGTTGCCTGGCTACCTGCCTGTTGCATTATCTCTCCTTGCTAACCGCCATCTGTTAGTGGCCACGAGAGCTCCCGGAACTGCAACCCATCGTGCATAACTACATGCAGGCCATGGCCAAGCTCGGCCAGAGATTTCTTGGACTAGTGGCGACAGCACTGGAGCTTCCCGAGAGCGCCTTCCTGCCGTTTCTCTCCGACCAACATCGCCTGAAGCTTCTTCACTACCCGGAAGCGTCCGAATCTGCCCATTCGAGCCAGGGTGTTGGTCCCCACAAGGATTCCTCCGGTTGGTGGACATTCCTGCTCCAGGCGTCGCCACCGGAAGTCCAGGGGCTTCAAGCGCTCAACAAGAATGGCGAGTGGATCGACATCCCGAACATCCCAGGGACCTTTGTGGTGAACATCGGCCAGGCATTCGAAGTGGTGACCCACGGGGTGTGCAAGGCGACCACGCATCGAGTCCTGTCGAGTGCCAATGAGCGATTCAGTGTTCCCTTCTTCCAGGGTGTGCGCCGCGACTTGACCAAGACAGAGGCGTTGGAGACTCTAGCGCACCATTTTCGTCAATCTGGGCCTAGCAGTGAATCGGCAGAGGGTCATTCTATTGATTCGGCCTTCCTGAAGGGCCAGTACGATACATGGGGCGAAACACAACTGAGGACCAAGGTCCGCAGTCATCGCAAGAATGGGCGGAAGTTCTATCCTGAGGTTTACGACAAATACGTCAATGATGACACTTGATTTATTGATTTAGTAGCTATTACGTCGTCGTTAACATGCTGGGAATGATTGACCATGCTCTTTCGACCTCTTTCCACCAAATGAATCTTGATTCCTCTTCAATCGTAGTATTTGGCTGTCTTCCCGCCAATGATGACCTGCTCCTCGAGTTCGCTCTTCGGTCCGTCCTTTGCGACACCTTTGGCAACTCGAGCCTTTACCCAGGCACCTGCTGTGATTCCCACGACGCTGTCATCCGTTGATTCGTTGTACCCCAGCCGTTTCAGCACCTCGCTCTCGATTGGCCGTAGCTGGACATCGTCCTCGGGTCGCACAAAATACAAGACCCCAAGACGGTCGATCCCCTGCTGGTCAGGAGGAGGGACGACGACGCGGTGGATGCTGCTCTTGAGAAAGCCGTTGGTGAGGAACTCTAACGCGTCGGCGAGGTTCACCGTGATACTTCCAGGGTACGGTTTGACCCAGTTCCACTCCCCAGCCGGCGTTCTCACTTGAAGGGCTGCGACGGGCTGGCGGAAAAGTAGTGTCAAGCTTCCAAAGTCTGTGTGGCCCTTGACCCAGACGTTGTGTAGGAGGCGGTTCTGCTCCTCGGTCCGGCGGTGATACTTCATATACCGAAGGTGGCAGTCGCTTTTCTCGTCATACCGATGCAGTTTGAGAAAGAAATCTTCTGGGAGCTCGAGAATGATAGCGAAGAGAACAAGGAGCTTGCCGACAACCTTCTCGTGGATGTGACGGGCGAACTTTTCGATCTCCTCGCGGTTCTCGTTGATGACCGCCGGATGAGGGCGCTCGTAAGCGGGGATAAACTTGGGGATATTGTAGATTTCCGTGTTATCGAACAAGCCGGGGCGAACCTCCTATTATTTGGTGTAAGTGATACGGGTTAGTCCCAGTCGTCGCCTCCAAAACGCAGCAAATTAGCTGATGGGCATAGCAACGCACCCGAAGTCCAAGAGGTTTGTAACCGTTATAGCCCCCCGTCTCCAGCTCCGCGCGGTACTTCAGTTTCTCTTCCGTGGGTAGTTTGAACACTTCGTTGCCGAGGGCAAACTGGCGATCCACCTCTTCCTGGCTAAGGCCAAAGTTAACAATGTAGAAGAATCCTAATTAAACACTGATCGTCAGTTACTTATAGCCCAGGCTGAGAGAGGCTTATGGGAACTTCAAAAAGTAAAAATTCCCACCAATATTTCGGACTGCATCGAAGAGCTGCTGTGCAAGAAGCTGCTTGCCGCCCAGCTCGTCAAACCGGGATAGGTCGAGCGTTACAAGGGTCGCCCAATCCACTGAGGCCGAATTAGCTTGAGCAAGGAATGTATGGGCATCGCATCACAACAAACACACACTCATGGGCCGTCTCGGGGACTTGATGATATGATGGAAGCTCAATGGCTCTCCTAGGAGTTGGAGCAGTCGCTGCAACTGCTGCCATGGTTGAGACCAAGTGTTGACACGTAAAGGGGCAAGAATATTTCCCTTTAAATCCTCAGGCTGGTATTGTTAGATCAAGTGCAATGATATATATAAGTTCTGCTTCCCAAAGGGAATTGCTCCTCTTAGTAATGTACCCGAGCGCCGGGTAGTTCGGAAACGCGGAAAGCAACCGATGCCTAATTACATGGGATTAGATCTGGCGTGGTTTTGTGTTGCCATCACGACACTGCTTATTAGCCACTCAGCTCATGATATCGACGTGGGGTGTGGGGGGCAAATCTCATGGCAGGGGAGATCGTTGCACTATTTCTGCAAAGGAGATATACACAATAAACTCCGGAATGGCGAAACCAACATTGAAGGATGATCATTTGCCAATGGGCATAACAACAGTTTGGAGGCATCGGATCTCGGCCCTCACACCATCCTGGGAATCGCCCTTGCATTGTCTGATGCTCCAAGTAGTACAAGTAGAAGTACGGAAAGGCCAAAAAGTGAACATGCCTTGCAACCCGGCCTTCCGCCTTCACAATTGCACTTTGCTCTTCGTACGATGACCGACAAAGACTCGTCCCCAGATGGCGTGGAAGGTTCGGTGGTCGCTGTGGGTATTACCAGCATCAACGACGGGGCCTTCCATTATGTCGCACGGGGAGGGGCTATCGATGAGCTTTCAAGCAGCGACTCGATCGATGGATTCGATTCGGAGCGGATGAGAGACCGGACGCTCTTGACAGCTGAGGAAGAGAAGAAGCTCCTACGACGCATCGACTGGCATCTGATGCCGTTATGCTCCCTCATATTTATGTTCAAGAATCTGGATTCCCAGAATGTAAGGAGTCTTCTTCTCAACCACCAATCCCGCTAACATATTATCCCAGATTTCCAATGCGAGGATCATGAACCAGGGATCGGACCAAAATATCATGACCCAGCTCGGAATGACGTCTGATCAGTATGCTCTACTGACTGCGGTTTACTATGTACGTACGGTGTTTGTCGCCGGAAACTGGTGCTGTCGGGGCGATTATTCACGCCGACGAAACCGTATCTAGATCCCATATATTGTGGCCGAGGCGCCTTCGAACCTGCTCTTGAAACGCTACCTACCATCGCGATGGCAATCAAGAATCATGATCACCTGGGGTGTGATGCTCATGTGTCATGCCGCGGTCAAGAACAAGGAGGGTCTGTATGCCACGAGATTCCTTCTTGGACTAGTAAGCCTCTGCCCAGTAATCCAATTCACCCGTAACATTGCCAGAGACTGATGATGCACATGCATAGGCAGAAGCAGGTCAATTTCCTGGCGTGATCTTGCAAATGTGTTATTGGTACAGACCAGACGAGATGTCACTCAGGCTTCTATACTTCTGTGAGTACATATCTGGGTTTGGGTTTACGAGAACGGGTCATGTAGAGACTCGAAGACTGACACTGCTGTAGACGCGTGCGGCAATGTTGCTGGGATTGTCGGTGGTCTTCTAGCCTTTGCATTTGACCACGCGTCTGGGTCAGGCGGCCTCTCTGGATGGCAATGGTGAGAACAAGCCGCATAAGAATCCTACGGTTTCAAGCTATTAATAAAACATCTTCAGGTTATTCCTTGTCGAGGGAATCGTCACCGTCGTGGTTGGTGTTGCAATCTGGTTTCTACTTCCGGACTGTGAGCCTCCCTCTGTTTATAATGAATCACTTTTCAAGTTTCATGTCTGGGGGAGATGGCTAATGATGTACTGATACTATTTAGTTCCGGATACTGCAAAATGGCTGACAGACCGCGAAAAGGCCTTCATCCAGGCTCGCCTGCCCTCTAATGCTCCCAGAACCAAGGAGCAAAACTTCAAATGGGCCGAGATCGTCGAGTCCTTGCAAGACAAGCGGCTCTGGCTCTTTACTGCGATTTGGGCAATATACACCGTTGGGACCAGCGGGGTTACATTCTACCAGTCTACTGTCATTGTCAATCTCGGGTTCACGTAAGTAATCACTTAACGCGTTGGATCAGTCACCCCGTGTGTGATCCCAGTCGATTTTACTTACTATCTTCCCCTACTTTGACAGGAATATCGCGACGGCCCAGATTCTCAACATCCCAATCACTGTCACAAGTCTGCTCGTGATTGGCATCACAGGCGTCATTGCAGACAGGGGCCGCTTCCCGCGACCAGTGTATCCGCTCACATTTCTCATCATAATCATCGCCTGTTATGGTGTACTGGTGGCCTATCCAAATACCGGAGGAGTTTACGCGGCCACCCTGATCGGAAACGCGGTCACTGCGGCTTGGTACCCGATGATGTGGCCGTGGAGAGTTCAGACGACAAGTCGGGCGACGGGCTCGGCGTTCTCCATCGGCTTTGTCAACAGCTACGGCCAGATTGGCGGAGCAGTGGGGCCCCAGATATTCCGCAGCAAGTACGCGCCGCACTACACTGTCCCGTTCACGGTAGCCATGTGTCTTGTGGCTGCCTGCATGGTCGTCACTCTGCTGACATGGTGGGTGACTTGGGACACGGAACGGGACACGAGGAGGTTAAAGCTGGCCAGGAAGGCTGCGGAACAACGGGGCGAGACGATCCTCGAGGATGTCGTTGACAACGACCTGCAGAAACGCCCGAAACGCGGTGGGATTGCGTAGAAACTCATGCAACGCCAAGAATGGGTGGACGAGCATCACGGCGGGGTTGGGCAAGTCGACCTCCATGTCCAGAACTTAGGTAGTCACACTCTGCTAGACAACTATTGGCTCTGGTTTTTTTTTTTTGCCGCAGAGACCCATCTTGACTTGGTGCCAAAGCCATCAAGACGGCAGTGAGCATACGAAAGCCACAGGCCGTCACGCCTATCTGCCTGTGCAACAATATCCTTCGAGCACACCAGCCCGAATTTTAATAGACGCGTTGCCCCGATCTCGGGTCCTCCGTGACTTAAATTTTCCCCAGAATCCAGAACGCGAAGACAACGGGAAGGCTGCGGAATTCTTCGTGCAACTCTTGTTAAGAACCCAGAGCCTTTGCCGCCAGCACGGAACAAGGAGGAATTCCTGAGGTTCTGGGCAGGTCAAGGATGAGAAGCAACTGCAGTTACTGACTCGCGGCTAAAAAATATTGATAGTTGGGGTTACATGAACGCCCATCTGAACTCGGAAATAGCTACTGCGAGTAGGATCTTCACTTCGGTCTAAGATTCACCGTCACCGTCGGATTATCCTACTTTTCTCATTATGGCCATCACACGCGCCTAAGCTAAGAACCACATCACCCTTCCTCAACAGCCTTTGCTCCAGCATTTCATTGCACATACTTCTGTCCAATCCCTCTCTGGACAGCACCTCTCTTGGAAATTCTATCGATCCACGCCAATAGGTTCGGGAACTCCTTGACGTCGTCTGGCGTGAAGCCTGACTTTTCCCAATTCTTCACCCACGACCACGCCTTGATGTCGGCGATGCTGTACTTGCCCTTGCCCCGCCCGGCCAGGTACTCTCGCGGCTCACCTCCAGTGTAGATGCCCGACAGCTGGATCTCCAGCACGCCGAAGACCCGCAGCGTCTCGTTGCGGAAGCGGTTGATTGCGTCTTTTTTTTTTTTCCTCGTCAGTCGAATTAATAATCACGTATGAATGGTGCAATTAAAACTTACATGGAATCTTCTCAGGGGCTGCCCTCGTGAAATGGTTCACCTGCCCCTGATATGGCGCGCCACCGCCGTGCCAGAAAAACAGCCACTGCAGGGCCTGGTTCTGCTCGAACTTATCGGCGAAGCCGAACTTGTGGTCCTTGTCATAGATGTCGACCAGGTACTGCAGCTGGGCCGAGGTCTCGAAGACGGGGAAGGGCGGGTTCTGGCTGTTGTCAACGAGGACCGGGATGCGGCCGTTGGGGTTCAAGCGCAGGAACCACTCCTTCTTCTGCTCGTTGGTTGAAATGTTGATCAGAGTCGTGCCCCAGGTCGTGCCGTAGGCGTCGGCGAGCTCCTCGAGCAGAATCTGCGTCGCCTGCCCGTTGGGCGTGTTCTGGGTGATCAGGTGCAATCCCTTGGAGGAGGAAACATCTGCAGGTGTCCCAGCAATGTAAAGATAGTCTGCCATGGCGACAACTATTGGACTTGGTCTATAATTATAGAATTGATCAGAGAGCTTGTGCAATTACGGTTTCTTTTCCTTCACAAACAATTGAGGGGTAACGCCAAAGATAAGGGGAGCAAGATACAAGATTAATAATCGCACCGTATTATAAATCAGGATGGTGCTGTCAACGGGGAGGATGAGATGCTCTATGACGGAATTGTACCATCAAATAAGCTAATTACCACCTTCTGCAAAGTCACGCAGTCTGCAAATATCATGCATGACAGTCAGTGGCTTGTGCAGGTGCTGCACCTCGTTTATCGCGAAATACTCCGTACAGACCTATCGTACCCGACTTGGATACGGAATGTCACGTGCACTGATCGATTCGCGGATTAATTAGGTTGTTCCTGAATACCTGCCTGGGCTCCTGGAGCTGCCAATGACGTCATGTAAAATAGAGAGCCCTCGCGGATGTATTTGGTTACTATCGTGATCTTACCAGCTTTCAAACTCTGAGGTCTAGAACAATCAAGACTCCATTCGAATACGCATTGCTTATTCCACGTCCTCAAGATGTCACCATCACCGCCCCCAGAACTCAACAGCAAAACTGTCACATATCAAGGAAACGCAGTGCAGCCAGGTCAGGCAGTGCAGACGACTCAACCCATGGCTTCCGAACCAATGGGTACGCCTTCCATTTCTTCTCCTGACCTCCGCTACTGCCTCCTCGCCTTATCTCGCTAAGTTGCTAACCCAAGCAACTTGTCGTAGATCCCGAACAACCCCACCCTGAGTCGCAGCCGACCATGGGACTGCGTGGGGGGCAGCGCGGCTCAGTTTGCCCTGGACGGTTCTGCTTCTGCGTTCCGTGCCCTATCCCATGTGATTGCTGTATTATCTGAATGCCGGACAGAGATGTCGAATCCAAGATTGAAGGGGGAGGGGACGGAGGGGACCGCAGGCTGAGCCCAGACAAGGACCGACTTCTGGGACTGCCATGACACTATAGTGGCTGGGATACACCCGAGCGGGAGACTGCAATAAAATGAGCAAACTGCATAACATAACAATATTCCACACTCAAACAGTTTTATACATTAGGAAGTAGAACTACAAATAGGTATCATCATTGAATAGAAGCGCGTGCTCGCTCATTCATGCCCCCGGTTATGCAATTCCCTCCAATCGATCCGGGAGTCCGTCAATCCATCGCCATCCACATGAACGACTGTCGACATTACGCCTCGGCCTGTTCCGCCTCCGCCGCGGGCTTCTCTTTCTCCTCGAGCTCCTTGATCTTCTTCTCGCTTGCCTCCGCCTTCTCAAGGGCAGCCTGCTTCTCGCTCTGCGTGGCGGCTAGGCTTGCCTGGACCTCGTCAAGCTGGGCCTTCAGATCAGACTCTGCCTCCTTGGACTTTTCCACCTCGGAGGCGAGGTCGGCAGCCTTGGTCTCCAGGGCCTGCTTCTCCTGTAAAACATGTGTTAGAGCAGGCTTGACGAGCTGGGTGGTCATCTGAATGGGGACGGGCCGGTTCTGTGTTGCATACCTTTTGAAGGGAGTCGAGGGCATCAGCGGCCTGCGCTGCCTTGCTCTCCGCGGCTTCGGCTTGCTCCCTGGCTGCAGAGAGCTGCGTCTCGTCCTCTTGGCGAAGCTTCTTCAACGAGGCGTACTCCTCTTCCAAGTCCTTGATCTTGGCTGCGTCGCTTTCTTGCCCTTGCTGGAGAGTCTGCAGCTTCGAGGCTTGCTCGTCGTATGTTTTCTGTAGAGTGTCCCGCTGCTCGGTCGAGGCCTCGAGTTTGCTTTCCAGGTCGGCAGTATTCTTTCTCGTCTTGTCTTGCTCGGCAGCATGCTCCTCCTTCAGCTTCTTATTCGCCTCCTCGAGGTCAGCAGTGGCTTTTTCGGCTGTGGCGGCGTCGTCGCGGAGCTTCTGGAGCTCAGACTCGTGCTTGGCTTCTGCGGCCTTTTTCTGCTCCTCGAGGTCGGCATTGGCCTTTTCGGCTATGGCGGCGTTGTCGCGGAGCTTCTGGAGCTCAGACTCGTGCTTGGCTTCTGCGGCCTTCTTCTGCTCCTCGAGGTCGGCATTGGCCTTTTCGGCTATGGCGGCGCTGTCGCGGAGCTTCTGGAGCTCAGACTCGTGCTTGGATTCCACAGTCTTCCTCTGCTCCTCGGCAGAGGCGAGGTCCTTCTTGGCAGCCTCCACATCGTTGGCTAGTGTGTCTCGAGCCGACTCCAAGGATTGTGCCTTCTCTTGCCAGCTTGCCACGTCCTTCTTGGCCGATGCCAATTCCGCTTCCCATACCGACTTGAGCTTGTCGTGGTCCTGCTGCAGAGCGCCGAACTTGTCTTGGACACCGGCTAGGTCCTTCTTCGTGGCCGATAGCTCCGAGTCGGTGTCTGCCCTCAGCTGCTCGGCCGCGGCGAGTTGTCCTTGTAGCGATGTGATCTCGGCTCGCGACGAGGCATCCGAGGCCGCGCGATCCTCCTTGGCCTCGGCCAGCTGCTGATTCACAGCGGCCAATTCATCTGCCAGGGTCTTCTTCTCTTGCTGGAGCTTCTCGAGCTGCTCCCGCAGCAGTATCAGCTGCTTATTGGCGGCGTCGAGCTCGGAAGTACGGGCAGCGATCGCCTCGTCGCTGGCGCGAAGTCGTTGTGTGGCCTTCTCGTCGTTCGCGGCTAGTGTCGATTGGAGCTGGGTGATTCGGACCTGGCTCTCCTCTTGCGACGAAGACAACTGAGCGTCGAGCTGCTTGATGTTCTGTCGCAGGTCATCTGCATCTTTCGAAAGGGATGTGTACTCCTTTTCCTTCTTGGAAAGTTCCTTTTCGAGGACGGCAATGGTTTCCTCTCTGTCGGCGAGCTTCTTCTCAAGCTCTGCTTTTTGGGCGGCTTCGATGCGACCTTGACCGCTACCGGGGGAGAGGACCGAAACGACGTTGCCCATAATGGAAGCGGTGTGGGAGAAAGCGATGAAGTGTTGACAATGAAGTAATTAGATGGTAGGCAGGCAAGCTGTTGAACGTGGATATTGCAGCTGGGGAAGAAAAAGAGGAGGACAGAAACGTGCGCAGGGTTTCAAGTTGGAATGTTTTTTTTTTTTTTTTTTTTTTTGTTCCCATCCCCGCATTATGGGGCCGTTGTCTCGGTGATGAATGGCGCAAATTTTTTAATTTTATTTTTGTATTGCCGAGATAGTGGGGTTGATCACGACAGGCACCGTTTTCACGTGAGGATGAGAAACTTGGGGTCACAAAAATACAAATTCGAGATATCAATTCCCCGATTTACCACGCTAGGAACAAACCGACCACTCTAAGTTAGGTCAATTGGACAGTCCTTCGCATCCCCATGGCTGCGTTTCTGAGGGACGACTTGGCTACGCTTTCTTAGCGGGCTCTCCGCGTCAATGTGCTGGGCATCGGGCTCAGACTTCACGACACGCAGGAGTCCTCTTCTCCTGGTCCTATCCGATAAGCTCGTCGCTGGATGAGCCGCAACTTGACTCCTCGGCGATAATGTTTGTCGACTCTGGGGCGACGTGGTTTCCGTCGGATCGGGTTTAATACTTGCGCATGGTGTTGCTGATCTGCCATCTCTTGTGGAGTGGACCGGCTGACGGCGCCTCCAATATCCAGTACCCTGTGGACTTGCCGATTCCTTCTCCGCCACCCGACCACTCGAACCCGACGGCATCCCTGTCTGATTGCCCTGCTTCCGGTTATTCTCCAGTATCCCCTTGATCTGCTTCATGTCTTTCAATTTCGAGCGAGCCTCGAGGATGCTGGAGAAGATTTCCGACAAGCCCGTACTTTCCTCCTGGTCGGTAGTGATGTGGGCAGTCCGGGAGAGCTCGCTTAACAAGTCGGTAATCCTTTGCTCATGCCTGGCTATGCTTTGGTTGGTACATTCCAAAATCATATCATCTGGTTGCCGACTGCCCAAATCGGACCCTTGGTCCTGGGCTTGCCGGTCGCCAAGCTGCGTCACGGGGTGCGACAAGACGGCGTTTCCTGGCACGGGGAACCTGCCCGCATCCTCCGCCATCTTGCTCGCTTGGGTATATGTCTCTGGTTCCTCCTCCCACTCGCGCTTTACATCCTGCCATGTGAGTAAAACAGGATCGGACTCTATGCCGCCCTGTTCGGAACCTTGCTTCCCGGGGGTGATGTGGTGGTAGATCGGAGACGTCTGTAAGGGGCCTAGCTGCGGAATGGCCGCGAGGACTGCTTGTTCCTGGTCTAACTTTGCCTGGATTGCCTGTTCCTGCTGAGTTGCACCCGGTGTCGGCAGGCCGTGGGACGGAGACATAGACCAAGTCGTGGTCAAGCTAGGCATGGGCGTGGTGCCTTGCTGCTGGGAAGGACTCTGCTGGTAGCCGGGGTGCGTGTTAGATGCCTCACAAGTACCGTTATGCGCTGGCTGAGGAGAGTCCACGGCGCCAGAGGCGTCTCCCGACGACACCGAGGCAGTGCTGCTAAGAGCCGTCGAGTAAGGTTCTGGGGCTGCGGCGGGGTTCTGTCGTTGCAGCAGTGTGTCGATCGAGTTAAGAAGGCCCATTTGGAGGGCGGCAAGCTTCTTTGGAGTCCCTGCATTTTCTGTCGCATGCTTGCTCCTCAGATATTTAGCGACGCAGTTGTGACACGCATACTTTGTGCCGTTGGTTTCCTTTACCCATTTGGAGGAAGACTGGCCGCCTGCACCTCACTCATCTCATCAGAAACAATTCTCCAAGTCATAGAATGCATTAGGCCACTCACCGCATTTTGCACACGTGTGTTGCCCGCTCGCATTCCATCTTGCTTGTGAGTTAGCTTCTGTAGGTGGGACGGCAACCCCATTCTGGCCAGTCGATTGTGTGATCGAGGATTGAGACGGTTGGCAAGCGGGTGTCGAATCACTTGCCGAAACTCCCTGTGCGGTATGCCCTAAGACCGGTCCGGACGCCGAAGTTTTAAGAGTTGCCTTGCTGGGGGTGTTGGGAAACCATTCGATACCTCGCCTTCTCTGCTCCAAGCGCAGCCAGACCTCACGCCGCCAGTCGGCCACGTCAAGTTGTTGGGATCGAATCAACGTCTCCTCCTGGCCTACGGTTTGATCGACAAAAGCCACAGGGTTGACAAGGAACCGCTCAATGTGTTCCAACAAGTGGAAGCCACTGTCTTGGTCGCTCCCAGTAATGGAATTGAACGGCATCTTGACTGGTATGGAAGATGTGTGGTCGCCATCGAATAGAGACATTGCAGCTTGCGTCACCTCTTGCACCTTAGGGTCCTGTGTGTGTTGTCCCTCCTGCAAGCGGGAGTCGAAAATGATGATTGAGCCCGAGCGTCGCTGCACAAGGAGAAGGACCCAGCGATTCGAGCTTCCTTTGATGCCGACGGGAACAAGGACGTAGGCGGGATCTGAGCGAAGCCAATGCGCCACCAGTGGGCTTCGACTTCCTCGACATTTCTCCTTCTCCTGGAGCAAATATGGTACGCTCGGCGTCGGTATAACCAGAACACGCTGTTCATTGATGATCGCCGTGTGGCGGACTACCAAGAAATACACGTACGCATCGATCACGTTTCCGCTCACTCCGCTTCTCTGCATCTGTGAACATGACAAGGATGCCATGTCCGGCGGACCTATAAAAGCCGGACCGATTTGACACGGCGTGTCTGGTTTGTCGACTGGAGACTGGCTGAGGCACTCGCATGTGAGATCACTCTCCCTGGGCTGACCGGGCCGCAGACGACAGGCGCTCATGTCTCGTTCGTGCTGATTCAACAGCTCCCTGACGACGTTGTTGGGCCGGTTGGTATCATCCAGGCTCACGACGAACCACTCCTTCAACCGACTGAGGTCACGCGTACAAATCTGAACCATTCCCCTGGCATCGTATACTGGGGCGTAGGATGTTGCCAAACCGATGATCTGAGGCAACGTGATATTCCTGCGAGCGCTCTCCGGCGACTTGAGGAGACACAATATTTCGGTGGCGGATTCGCATGTTGCAACAGCTCGGTTGAGGGCAAAGCAAATGGTATGATGATCAAACACGAGAGGGCCGCAGCTGTAGGTGTCGGCTATCCGGGCGAGCCTTTCCTTCTCGACCCCCTGGAGAGACGGGAACCAGGTGGGGTCCAGTGCTTCGTAGATCTGCGAGATGATCTCGAGAACGTTGATGTGCCGGGGAATGCTCAGCCAGGTGAAAAACTCGTCGGGACTCAGCCGGCCGCGGAATCTGCCGAGTCGGACGAGGACCGAGTCTAAGTCCCATCGCAGGAATGCCCTGGCCTTGACTACTTCGAGGTGATTCAGAACGAGTAAACCTTCGACGTCAATGGGAGGCGGGTTGGGCGGGTTTAGCAAAGTTCCGGCGGGGTATGGAGGTTGGGTTTGAGTGGTCATGGTCGTGAGAAAACTGGGCGTTGTAATTAATCCCCGGGAGGGATCTCCGCTGGTAAAGCAGGGAGGGAGGGTGTGGAACACGGCCTGAACTGCCGCAATCGATGGCGAATGATTTATTGACACTTTGATCATGCCTCGAGGGAAGCCAACGATGGCAGCAGAGCCTCATCGAGCGCGACCTAACTTGATACGGTCCAAAAAAAAAAAAGGAAACAAATCAGACCGGGGTGAGGGTAGGCCAGCGGTGAGTACCAATAAGCCACTGTCACATCCTGGGGCCAATGGGGATTCATTTCTCTGGCGCTGTCACAAATCAATGACAGGGGAGATCCAAACTAGGTATACTTGAACGACAACTCAACTCGTGTTACGGTACCCCCCACTTGATTTGTTACCAATTGTACCACACTAACGCCTTTCAAGGGCGTCTTTACGAACGGCTAATCATGGAAGCAATTTCCGATTCGTGCTGAATAACTTTCCATGTTAAGGATTGTCTGCAAGTGTCACTAGATTTGGAATGTGGCAGGGGTGATGTAATACCAAACTGGACATTCGCCTCTTGTCTTGCTTGACAAGCCTAGCCTCGCTCGTGTTGCTCGCAATGTATGTATATTGTACCACGTTTCTCGTTGGCTGGTTGGAAGCGACGCTAATAGCGATGACCCACCCCGCACGACCCGTGTCCGATGCCGTGCGGCGCCGAGCTGGGTCTCCTAGAGGATCCGTTCCGCAACTCATAACCACGGCGCTTCTTTACGCCTGCGCTGAGTCGCACCGAGACCTCGTTCTATTTCTCCTTGTCAACGGAGCAAACCCGAAAAAATGGCCACGCTTCCTCCCGCTCAGGGCATCGACATTGGTGATGGCGGTCACATCTTTCAGCACGGCGTGCTGCACGTGCCGAGTCTTGGCAGCCTCTCCGCCAGCCAGTCCGATATATTTCATCTTCTCCTCCGCCACAAGCGCCTGCAAATGGCGGTACCCTCCTTCACGACATGACCGGCTGCCGCGATGGGACGATTCTCGCATACGCATGCAGCTTTTCCGAGCAAGAATGGCCCTACTGGACGTTCAGAGAGACAATGTGCGCTTGCTTGCTATCGAGGAGCTGGTGGTCACGGTTCTTGGTTCATCGTTGGAAAGTGAAAGTAGCGAGAGTGATTCCAATGGAGAGTTTGCAGCAGGGCCACACTCAGCTAATAAGTTCCAGCTGCCCACACTAATCCGTAATCAACAATTACACCTCCGGCTTCCGTCCCCATACAACCTTCTGCCAGTAGTAGACATGGTAGTGTCCAGCCCTAAGCTCCTTCTGGAGATGCGCCATATATACCTGGACCTGCTCCCTCGTCCACTTCTGCACGGCAGTCATGAAGAGGATGAATCCCTCAATGTCCTGTAGAACAGCCAGCTGTGAATACCGCCCAATCTCCCTCATCTTTGGGTCCTTGGCCCAGCCACCTGTGGGACACTACAAATACGATATCAGCATACGACTAAGAAAAAAAAGTAGCACAGCGCACGCACCTTGATGTTCTTCTCCTGGATGTCCACGAACCCGGCCTCCTCCATGGCCTTCCGCTGGAGGTGCTCGTCGACGATGGTGAAGCTCCGGCCAATGGCCTTGCCGCCCTCGATGAAGAGCGGGCCCCACTGGGCGGTGGCACTCTTCGGCGGTAGGGTGTCGTCGTCGGTGCACACGTTCGGGGAGGCCTCGTAGCTCTCGAGGTAGCCGCCCGGCTTCAGGGCCCGGAAGGCCTGCTTGTAGAGTGCGGCCCAGTCGGCGATGCTCCCCACCAGGTATCGGATGTGGACGTAGTCGAATTCATTGGCCGGGAAGGTCCAATCCTGGGTGCAGTCCTCTATCTCACTAGATTGGCGGGTTAGTCGCGGCAATGTGGACACCCTCAGGGGAAGTAAGGTAAGACTTTACAATCGGAGGTTTGGTGGAACCCAGGTAGGTTGGATGGGCGAGATGTCGGTCCCAATGACATCGCAATCGGGAAACTTGTCCGCAAAATCACTGCATCCGTATAAGTGGTGTGTGATAGATGGCTGTTTCGAGGAAGATCCACCTACATAGCCCAGAGTCCTAGAAGGGGCTTAGTTCATTGTTTCAGAGGGTTGCAGATGGGGATAGGGGTGCCTATAATTACTGACCAGTGCCGGTTCCGATATCGAGTACTTTCTATGATACAGTGAGTGGCCATCTTGGATAGGTCGGCATAGCGTGGGAAGTTTAGTTGCTGACCTTGGGAGCTTCGACGGGTGCTAGGTAGAGCTTATCCCCAAGGCATAGAGTAAAGCAATGATGCCTGTACGAATAGTGAGCGAAGGTGGGTCTGCCATGTTGTAATATGAGTGCCTCACATGATGTCAAGCGACTCATTGTGCCCGTCGTCGTTGGCTCCCCTTTAATTATCGCAAAAGAGTTTAGCAATTATTAGGTGGGAAGAATGAGGAGGTTATTGGGTGAGATACCAATACTGAGCGTCCCCCCTCTCGCTATGATATGTTCGACCGTGGATCGTCCTGTATCTGAGGATCGAAGACGTCAGGGACGCATCTGAATCAGATTTGTCGTCGCCAAGAGCAGAGTCGTCGTCCCCATCACCAAGGTCCTACGCATGCCATGTTGAGTAAATCAGAAGCGCGTCACGTCTCACAGAATCGGTGGCGAACCTGTTGAGTCCAGTGCTCCGGCGCGAGGATAGAGATAGGAGCGACCGGCTGTGCTGAAGAGCTGGCTTCAGCAGGAGCCGGTTGTGTTGGAGAGCTGTCCTGACCAGAAGCCCGCTGGGCCGGAGAGCTGGCCTGAGCAGGCGCCGGCTGTACCGGAGAGCTGGCTTCGGCTAAAGCCTTCTTCTCAGGCGTCTGCGCTGTCTCAGACATTGTATCGTGATGCTGTTAATTTAAATCCTCGATGCTGTTGACAATGAACGGACGTTGTAAAAAGAATGAGGACGGCGGGCGAGCGAAGCGGCCCAGGTTACCCCTCCGACGTGCCCAAGAGCTGCCAAGGTTTGAGCCAGAAGGAGACAGAGGGAAAATACTAGCGCCATGCCGGAAGCAATGCCAATTGGCTGCTATGGTGGAGTGACTATGCACAACTTCATGTTTAAGGGCAACTATTAGAGTCCATTCGTTTGGGCTGGCCAATTACGCAGAAGTCGGTGGCAAAGGATTGGACCCTGACGCGACGATCCTTCCGGGTCTCCAACATACCCCACGTTTTCTTTCATTCATCCCCCACGATAATTACAAGTCGTCATCGACGCTGTTTGTCGACGATATGCCTGACGCATCAGAACGTCTTGCAATGCATCTAGATACATACATCTACAGACCAGCTGCCTCCTCAGGACCGACCCTTTACAGGATTGCCCAACATCAAGGTTAGCATTGAAGCCTGCTACAATATGATAATTACATGCCGGGCTGCGGATTCCAAGTTCAGAAGCCTTAGGCATCTACATATTGCAGCACCTCAGGCACGCTCTCACTCTCCGAGATGTACTGCGCCGCCCCGGTATATCTCCAGCGATTGAAATGCGCGTTCCCGCCCTCGGGACACTCCAGCCCGGCCCCCAGTCCATTGCACGTCGCATACGCCCCAACCAGACTGCCCACAAAGGACCCTTCCCCCCCGCTCACGAGCCCCGCTGACGCGGTCCCGATTAGCATGGCGGAGTTCGGGTCGGCGGCCGGCATGGCGGCGAGGTTGTAGTGCGTCGCGTTCGCCGTCCGGATCTGCAGCCGGATGGGGCCGTCGGCCCAGCCCTCTGGCACGGCGACGATCCGGGGCGCCGGAGGAGTGCCGGTGCCGACGGCGCGGAAGCGGAAGGACAACTGCCGAGTAGACCGGCGGTGCTTATTCGATTTGGAAGAGCAGGACGAGTTGTTGTTGGCAGGGAGGAGCACCACGCCGAGGTCGATGTGGTTGAGCTGGGTGAGGAAGATGGTGATGCCTGCCTCCTGGCCGGCCGACTGGGGGCTGAAGGACAGGTCGACGCTGAAGGTGAAGAGGGTGTCGGTCTGGCGGCGGCCGACGAATGCGAGGCCTTGCTGGCCGCTGAGCTCGGGCGTTACCTCGGACTGCGGGGTGCCTGTCAGGTTGTTCCGGCTCGGCACAATCTGGAGGCCCTTGGATGTGACGGAGAAGGTGCCCTCGCGTGGCACACGCCAGTGTATCAGATTCCTTGGGAGGGCAGTCCCTTCCTCAAAGTCATAGACGTCGGGGTCGGAGTTGAAGGGGCCAGTCCCGGGGACATCGCGGCTGGCTGGTGGCAAAGGCCATCCACTCATTCGACCTCGGACCGGCTGCAGAACGGGCCATTCGCCCTCATCCCATGTGACCGGGAAGAGGACGGTCTCGCGGCCCATGGGATAAATGTCAAATTTCGGCCCTGAGCGGGTTGCGAGACCCACCCCCCACCAGTTCCCTTCGGTGTCCTGGAACAGGTCGCCGTGCCCGACGGTCTGGAAATACTCGTCGGTGCCGCGGTTCGTCAGGATCGGGTTATTGGAGTACGCCTCGTAAGGGCCTGTGACGCTCCGAGCTCGAGCGATGGTAATGGAATGGTCTAGCGCGGTCCCACCTTCGGCGATCATCAGGTAATACCATCCGTCTTTCTTGTAAATGTGCGGGCCCTCAGGCCAGACACCCCCCGTGCCGTTCCAGAGACTGACAGCTTCGCCCAGTTTGCCAGTGTCGAGGTCGAGCTCCTGGAGGATGACGCCCTGCGTCGCGGCGTATACCTTGCCGTCATCATCCCAGAAGAGGTCTGGGTCGATGGGGTCAGGGTGGAAGATGACTGGGTTACTCCAGGCCGCATCGTTGAACGGGTCTGTCGACTTGAATAGCACGCCGACGATCCCGTCTGGCATGCCTAGATACTCGCAGATCACGTAGAACTGCCCATCGCGGTAGCGTATGGCTGCCGCGAACATGCCCTCTTGCTGGCCAGTTGTGTTCGAGCTGAGGCCTGGGAGTTGGCTCTCGCGGTTCCATGCGTGGCTGACGTGCTTCCAGTTGATCAGGTCCTTTGAGGCATATATAGGGAGTCCTGGGAAGGCAATGAAGGTCGACGTCACACAGAAGAAGGTGCCATTGACCTGAGTGCACGATGGGTCGGAGTGCCATCCGGGAAGGATTGGATTGTAGTAGGTCGAGTTCCTGGATTCCGCAGAGGATAATACAACCCAGCCGGCGAGGAAGGCCAGAGGTAGCCTACTGAAGGAGAGCTTCATTTTGAATGGCGAATGGCGAATGACCTTTGCTTGAAGGTTGGGGAGTCAGCCTGTGTCGAGATACGGGTGTTTATTCCCATTATACGCAGCAGCATTTAAGAGTTGCCAGAATTTAGCCGGACTTGGAAGCTTGAGGGGTTCCGGTTCCTTGTATTGTACGTACTTGGCTAAGGACTTTATCCGGCAGACGATGTGCCCTTAATTTGTGCGGGTATCCCACATTTTACCATTTTACAGGGGGAATTGAGGGTTCGTTCGATCAGTCTCGGTTGAGAACCCACCGAGTTCCACATTCCCTACTACATGGGATTCCATGCTAGTGGTGTCCCGCCTTGCAGACAGAGTTCCTGGAGTTGCACAATGCTTCCTTCATATTTCGATCTGGCTGAGACCTACTTTTGCATTGCCAGGATATGGCCGTGGACAGGAGCCAGTCACCGTCACCGTCACATCGCACTCGCACTCGCAATAATTAGTTATAGAAGATAAAGCGGTCTTCTTCATTTCACTTACTACATGCAAGGTGAGTTCGTCTCTCTTTCCTCTACAGCCAACATGAACAGTAATTAGTTAAGTCGCAGTAATTACTACCAAATAAACCACTGCCCAGCCTCCTCTCAGCCCAACCTCTAAATCTGATATTGGTTTTGCTAGGCCAAGTCAAAGAACTGCTTGAAGTGATGAGCAAACAGCTCTGGACGGTTGTAATGCCCTGCATAGTCTAGGGCATACTTGGCAGCAACCACGCTGCCCGTATCAACTTCGGCATACAGTATGCCTTCCTGCGCCTCGACAAACGGGCCGGCGATCACAACACCGCCCAACCCCACAATCGTGGCCCGCCTCTTCGTCTGCTCTGACCGCAAGAATTTCCGAATTTCGTCATTCACCCCATAAGCTTCGATCGCGCCCTCGTCCACCGCCGCCACTGAATTGATCACGAAGCAGGAAAGCGAGACTGCGAGTCCCCGTGTGATTGCTTGGATGGCGTCTTGCACTTCCACGCCGGGAGCAAAGTGTGGCGGCCAGGATGCGACGTGCACCACGGGATAGTCGAGGCTCAGTGAGTACTGTGCCAGAGGATTCCCGTTCTCCCCGCAGATGAGGCCGCTAAGGCAGCCGAAGTCTGTCTTGGCTGAGGCTTTGCTGCCGGTACCGCCTGGCGCATGAACTAGACGCTCACCCACTGTCGGTACGTACTTCTGGTGCTTGTGAAGCAGCGTCCCGTCCCGACCGATAATTAGTTGCGTATTGTACAGGGTTCCCGTCGTGCCTGGGCGACGCTCGGTTATCCCGACGACAGCATAGATGTTCGCCTCTTGGCATGCAGCCTGGATGGCCTCGACCTCCGGGCCTGGGACCTCAACCGACTCGTTGAAGAGGCGGCAAAACAAGGATTGTGCGGGACCTGTGCTGAGAGGGAGGACTTCTACCCATCCTGGGTGGCCGGGGATGAAAGACTCGGGGAACCCGATCACGTCGGCGCCGTTTTTCCCCGCCTCGAGGATTAGGGAGCAGACTTTCTGCGTTGTAGCTGCTTTGTTGAGAAAAACGGGGGCTGCTTGAACTGCGGCGAGCTTGAGGTTGTTTCCCCGGGGGGCTGGAGTATGTTCTTCCATTTTGGTTCTGTGCAAGCACGTAGCAAGAAAGCCTAGTTGGAGATGGAATTGGGATGACGAGCCAAGGTTGGTTGTATCCCGGGGACTCGACGTCCGATGTAAACTCCGTAGAAACGTGCTTCAACTTTTATTCTTGTTTCTGTTGCGCCCTTTTGGCTTGGCAACCCCTCTTTGTAGGTAGGCCCGGGCAATCTTTCCACCGTATTGACATCCGTAATACCTCTTAAGGCTGAATAAGGGAGGTTTCATACCAGCTCCAACAGCAAGCGAGTGGACCGTTAGGGGTTTTTTTTTTTTTTTTTTTTTTTTCTGTGGGGGGGGGGGGTTATTTAGGTTCCAAAAAAGAGTTAATTAAATTTTATAGAAAAATCCTTGGAGAACCTGCTGAGGACTGTTAGGGTATTTTTATTATATATAAAGAC